GAACAGTCTCAATCTCTTCGCCGTCCATCCTGATGCTACCAATTGGTCCAGTGGTGAGAATTTTTGTCTTCTTGACATTGAGCCTCAGTCCATATTGAAAGCTGCAGTCCTTGACCCTCTGCAGTAAGTGCATGAGGTATAAGGAGGATAAAGAAAAAACATGCTTTATATAAAGGGCATAACTGTGATAGAGTGACAACTGTGGTTGTCACTCTCCAGGTATAAGAGCCTAGAGTTACCAGATTGTCTGATTGAGATTTTTTGAAAAGAACCAGAAATCTAATGTTTATATATAATCTTCCAGTATTAAACATGGCAAATAATGTAAAATTCTTTGAAACAGAGTGGCTGATCAAATCCTATTTCTGAGCTACCAGTTTGCAAATTGTCACTCTTCCTGTTGTCTGTGGTACAGAGAGCCCTAAAAGAAGCATACTTTAAGCCATCTTTGGGTAAATGAGTGTCTCTAGTATTATTCTCTGTCTTAACCAGAAGAAAGAAAGAGATTAAGAGCAGGAAGAGAGGAATAGCTAGCTCACTAACTAGAGAAATAAATCACTGATGTGGAGGTGGGATCACTTAGGGAAGTTTTGTTTGTTTTTTTATTTAGGATTGGAAATAGCTCTCTGGATGGGCCTTAACTTATCCCACTTTAAAATATATAGATAAGATGTCGTGAGCCAGCATCAGCCAACATAAAAGAAACCCATTTTTTTAGAGTTAGCATATACAACTCACAGATACTCAGTGATGTGGACAGCAATTCCTCACTCAGACATCTTGTTATATTGTCTTGTGGGTTACCATAATTCTGAAGGCTTTGTCAGTAGTATTTCAAATATTAGCAGGATCATCCATGATGGACATGTCTCAACAGAGCTGCCAGAGTAAGGAACTAACAACATACTTCTTAAAAAACTGACTAGTGCCGGGCGTGGTGGCGCGTGCCTGTAGTCTCAGCTACTCGGGCTGTAGTGCGCTATGCCGATCAGGTGTCCACACTAAGTTCGGCATCAATATGGTGACCTCCCGGGAGCGGGGGACTACCAGGTTGCCTAAGGAGGGGTGAACCGGCCCAGGTTGGAAACGGAGCAGGTCAAAACTCCCGTGCTGCTCAGTAGTGTGATTGCACCTGTGAATAGCCACTGCACTCCAGCCTGGGCAATATAGCGAGACCTTGTCTCTAAAAAGAAAAAAAACCCTGACTAGTGAGGAGGACCTGAAGTGCTTGCTGCTGAGGGTCAGCGACTGCAGCCTTCAATGTGGATTGAGGCTCAATGTCAAGAAGACAAAGATTCTCACCACTGAACCAATTGGCAGCATCAAGATGGATGCTGAAGAGATTGAGATTGTTCACAGCTTTAGTTTGCTTGGCTCCACAATCAACACTCTTGGCACCAATAGCCAGGAAATTAAAAGACGTATTGCGATGGGAAAGTGTGCTGTTAGGGACCTCTCTAAAGTACTCAAGAGCAACAATGTGTCTCTGGAGACTAAGGTGCGTCTGGTACAGACCATGGTCTTTGCAATCACTTGCTATGTGTCAGAGAGCTGGACAGTGACCAGGGAGGATAGAAGGAGAATTGATGCTTTTGACCTTTGGTGTTGGAGAAGAGTGCTGAGAGTGCCATGGACTGCCAAGAAAACAAACAGATTCACCCTGGAGAGGGTTAAACCAGGCTGCTCCTTGAAGGCAAGAATTCTGAGGCTCCGTCTAACATACTTTGGTCATGTTGTAAGGAGGGACCGGTCCTTGGAGAGGGACATCATGCTTGGGAGGGTGGAGGGACAGCGCAGGAGGGGAAGACCCTCTATGAGGTGGATTGATTCAGTGACTGGGCCAGTCGGGATGAGTGTGTCGGAGACAATGAGATGGCACAGAACAGAGCAGAGTTTAGAGCTCTTGTACATAGGGTCGCTATGAGTCGCAAGCGACTCAGTGGCACATAACAACAACAACAGTGAAAACCTTATTTATAATAGCAGAACTTTGTCAAATATAATGCTAACAGAGGAGCCCATCAGGTTGGAAAGCACTCAAAATCTGAAGAGCTACTTCCTCATAACACGGTCGACCTTAATGACGGGGGCAGAATAAAGCTTTCAGAATCATTTGCTCTTGTAATTCACTTAAAATGAGATGGAAAAGCTGTAACAGTCATTAATAATCAGAAATTTGAATGTATGAAATACGGATCTGGGAAAACTGTAAGTGCTCAGAAATGAAACAATTCATAATTATTCATTATTGGCATCACTGAGCTGAAATGAACTGATATTACCCATTGTGAATCAGGCAGTTATATGATCTCTCATGCAAGAATGACACTGAAGAGAAAGAGTGACATCACATTCATTGTCAAAGAGAACACTTTAAAAATCTATCCTAAAGTACAGTGTTTTCAGTGGTACTATCAATATCCCTTGGTGAGATGAGTTAACAGGACTAAGAGGCAGTCATTGGAACAGAACAAGGGGATATTACATAGTTTATAAACAGGAGAGCTTTGAGTCAGGGTGTATCCTTCCATACATTTTCAAGTTTGTGTGCTGAACCAGTAAACTGGACTGTAGGATGAGAACCTTGACCTAGGAAAGACTCATTAGCTACCTGTAATACTCAAATGACACAGACTTGCCTGCTGAGAGTGAAGAGAACTTAATATTTATGATAGAGATCAAAGACTACAACCTTCCATATGGATTATGCCTCAACATAAAGAAAATTAAAATCCTCTCAACTAGATTGATAAGCAACATCATAACAAATGGAGAAAAGATGGGCATGTTCAAAGATTGCACTTTACTTGGATTCACAGTCAATATCAGTGGAAGCAGCAGTCAGGAAGTCAAAGGGTTTATTGCATGGAGCAAGTCTGCTGCAGAAGGTCTCCTTAAAGTACGAAAGAGCATATGTCGCTCTGAGAACCAAAATGCACCTGACCCAACCACAGTATTTTTCCGTTGCCTTGTATGCATGCAAAAAGCTGGATAATGAATAAGGAAGACTGAGGAAGAATTAAGGTGATTTAATGATGGTGTTGGCAAAGAATATAAAATATCAGAAGAACAGACAAAGTGCTTTTGAGAAAAATATAGCCACAGTGTTCCTTAGACACAAGTATGATGAGATTTCATCACAAGTATTTTGGACATGATATCAAAAGGTAGTATGCCCTGAAGAAGAATATCATACTTGATAGAGCAGGAGGTCCGAGAAAGAGACAGGAAATGAACTGGCACATTGGCTGCAGCCGTAACTCTAATGTAGCAGCAATTGGCAGGACTGGACAGCGTGATGTTCTCTGTTGCTGGGAGTCAGAATTGACTTGGCAGCACCTGACAGCAGACCAAATACTGTGCAAAGCTCAATTTAAAAATGGAAACACTGGTTTCAAAAGGGAAAGTCAGCATTTACCTGTTTCTAAGAAATAATTGAAACTTAGAAATACAGTCATGTCTGTCAATTTTAAGGACAGAAAATTAGTTTAGAAATGTATCAAAGAAGATAAATGTCAGCAAAAAAGACTCAGTATGTTAATTTATTCTTTACACATGGGAAAGTCTGCTGTTAGGGACCTCTCCAAAGTACTGAAGAGCAATGGTGTCTCTCTGGAGACTAAGGTGCGTTTGATACAGGCCATGGTCTTCACAATCACTTATCATGCATCAGAGAGTTGGACAATGACTAAGGAGGATAGAAAGAGAATTGATGCCTTTGAGGTGTGGTGCTGGAGAAGAGTATTGAGAATACCATGGACTGCTAGGAAAACAAACAGATTTGTCCTGGAGAGGGTTAAACCGGGTGGCTCCTTGGAGGCAAGGATTCTGAGGCTCCGTCTAACATACTTTGGACATGTTGTGAGGAGAGACCGGTCCTTGGAGAAGGACATCATGCTTGGGAGGGTGGAGGGACAGTTCAGGAGGGGAAGGCCCTCTGTGAGGTGGATTGATTCAGTGACTGGGATAATTGGGATGGGAGTGTCAGAGACAATGCGATTGGCACAGGACAGAGGAGAGTTTAGGGCTGTTGTACATAGGGTCACTATGAGTCGCAAGCAACTCGGTGGCACATAACAACACCACCACCACACAGGTAAACTCACCCTTATGAGAGAAGTTATCTCCACACACACACAATCCCAATTTTCTCATAGTTAAAACACTAAATTTTCAAGAGACTCTTTGAAGTAAAATAGAAAAGAATTTCAAATTGTAAAGGAAGGAAGGTACAACATTTGCAAGCATGAATTCTAAATCTTGAGCTCATTTTATAAATTTTGCTGTCCTCTCAACATCTGTTTAAAAATTAATTGCAGGATGGATATAGAAAGTGTCCAGGTGCCAAGTGCGTGTACCAGCTGCGAGGACATATCACCCCCGTCCGCACTGTAGCCTTCAGTTCTGACGGGCTGGCTTTGGTGTCTGGTGGACTTGGTGGACTCATGAACATTTGGTCTTTAAGGGTAAGAGCATAGAGTTTTTAGTAGTAGTTGTTGTTAAGGAAGTTCTTTTTTTTGCAGTGACTTAAGTATATTTAATAGAAATTTAACCAGCACATTCTAGCAATATTTGAACACCAAAGAAGCTGCTTTCAGTAACTTCTGCCCTTTTCAAGTGCCCTTTGGATGATAAATATTTTTAAAGTCATCTTGGCCCTAGGTGGTGTATACAAGTGGCATTGCTCAGTTAGCTAAAGTATAAATTTTAGAGTGTGGTTTTTATTTTGAAGTATAAATTTAAAATGTAATGGTTGCATAATGAATACTAATAAATGCACCTTGTTTTAGGATGGCTCAGTGTTACAAACTGTTGTGATAGGATCTGGAGCTATTCAAACTACAGTATGGATTCCAGAAGTTGGGGTAGCTGCTTGCTCAAATAGATCAAAGGTAATATTTTAACTCTATCTACTCAGGATATAAGCCTCTGAAGAACTTTAAATATCACAGCCTAACAGGAGAAAACTGGTGTCCAGATGGATTGTTATTTGCCCAAAATACAAGTCTCATGATTTATAATCTGCTGTTTTCTTTCCTAAAGACTTTCGTGTAAAAGCTTATTACTGAGTGATTTCCTCTCCATTGGAGGTTTAAAAGTAGATTTTTATGTTTTTGTCATATTTATTTCTATTCCTTTTTTTTACATTGTGTTTTATTAATCACCATTGCTTTATGCCTACTATTAGCTTGTCTTTTTTAAAAAAAAGTAAATCCTGTCTTTTCAGGTCCCCTCTGGATCTTTCCTAATTCCTTCATTCCTCCTCCACCCACCAATCTCTGATATTCTGGTGATTTCCTCCCTGCCCTGCCCTCTGTACCCTGCCCCACTGCCCCATTGCCTATTGGACTTTTACACATATCTTAACTTGTTATCTTTCTGTTTTTACAATAATCTTATGTAGTATTTGTCCTTATGAGACAAAGTTAGTTCACCCAGCATAATAGTACTTTACAAAATTGTTACTCTTGAGTGCTGCATAGTATTCCATTGTATGAATATACCGTAGTTTCTCAGTCCATTCTTTTGTTCCTGGACATTTGGGCTGTTTCTAATTTTTTTTTCTGCTATAGTGAATAATGCTGCTGTGAACATTGGTATACAAATCTCTGTTTGTGTCTCAGTTCTATTTTCTTCAGAGTGTATTCCTAAATGGGTGGAATAGCTGGATTATATAGGATGTCTATTGTACATAGGGTTGCAATGAGTAGTAAGTAACGCGATGGTACATAACAATACCAACATGTTCAGCTTTGGAAACTCTATGAACTTTGATGAATGACAGTAGTTATGAAAGGATTTAGGCCTTTTGTTCATAGGGTCACTATGAGTCGTGCTTGACTCGACAGAATTCAAGATTGTATTTCATTGTGGTTTTGATTTGAACATTTCTTCATGTGTCTACTGGCCATCCAAAGGTCTTCCTCTGTGAAAAGCCTTTCCATGTCTTTTGCCCATTTTGTAATTGGATTTCAGCCTTTTCCTTGTAGAGACTCTATAGGATTTTGTAGACTTTTGTTAAGAGATCCTTGTCCAACATGTCATTTCCAATTTTTCCCCCCAGTCTGTAGGATTGCTTTCCATCCCATTGGGAGAAGTTTTGTAGCACACAGGGATTTCATTTTTAGAAGGTCCCATTCATCGATTTTGTTTTCTCCATATTGTGCATTTTGTCATTATATTTGAGATAGTACTAAAGACTGTCTCAGAAGAAAGATTTGTGAAGAGAAGAATCATATTAAAATGATCTAACTCAGTATAAAAATATCTTTAGACTTTCCTATTTAATAATATTCTGGTGAAAATTGTTAGAATCCTACTATGAAGTAATTCTGTTTTGGTGTTATCTCCTGCAGTATGGTTTTGAACATTTAAAGTTTATTTGCCATTGTGCCACTTTGGTTTACATTTTATGTGGTTTAACGATACTAAAACAGTTGTAAGCCTGCATGATGAGACTTCATCTGGAGTTCATCTGGGAGTGAGAAGCACTCAATTCTTAGCCACTCGTTGCCTGCATAGAATAACCTACAGAGCTAGAGTTAGACGAGTGATGCTTCAATTGCTAATGTGTCCCCAGCAGACAAAGTTCTGCTTCCGTTAATAGACCTACAGTCCTCTCTGTTTTGTGAAGAATACGAAATACCTTATCCTACAAGCTGTATGAAAAGTGAATAATTGACTTTGTCTCTTTTAAAAGAAACAGCTAGATCCAGGTAGTTCACAGATTTTATAGTTATTTCTTACTATCACATTGACTTTTGACAAAAATTTAGTCTATTTCAAACTTTTCTAGGCATTAAAAATATAGCATGGAATATCAGAAAAGCAGATGTTTATTGCAGTTACTGAATAAAGAATTTCTCAGAGATAGGTGATGAATTATGTCTCTCTTTGTTTTAACAAGTATATCATATAACATTTCTTCCAACCAGGATGTTTTGGTGGTGAATTGTACAGCAGAATGGGCTGCTGCCAATCATGTTTTAGCAACCTGCAGGACAGCATTGAAACAGCAAGGTATTCTGGGATTAAACATGGCTCCTTGCATGAGAGCATTTCTGGAGCGGCTACCCATGATGCTTCAGGAGCAGTATACCTACGAAAAGGTAACTCATTACATTCAACCTAGAGATCCACAGATGCTTGGTGTTTTGGAAATTGAGTTATAGCTTTGAATTTATTCCTTAAAGCTTAAGATTTGAGGAAAAATAGTAGATCTCTTTGGATAGAATAAAATGAAATAAATCATACCTTAAGTAGTTGTTCAATAATTCTAAGCCTATCATTTTATTTAGTGAAATAAGAAATCAGCCTCAACTTTGTATGGTATCTGTATAATGTGTTCTTTTACAGATTATTTATTTACTCTAAAACTTCTTGAAACGTACGCCGCAAGTATCCTCTTCCTTTTTCTAGCCCGTGTCTCTGTTTTGTGTGACTTTTCCATCTCAAAGTTGGGAATAGAGATAGTTGAGGTGGATTTTCATAGCAGAGTGAAAATCCTCTTCACTCTCCAGATAAATCCCTGTGGACAGTTTAGAGACTGAACTCAGGGTGATCTAAATTTTGTCGCTCACCATTGCCACCATGTCAGTTCTGACTCATGATGACCCCATGTTTCATAGACAAGAAATACTCCTTGGAGTTTTTTCTTAGATTCAATCTTTACAGAAGTGGATCACCAGGTCTGTAATCTGTTGCACCACTTGAGGAGCACTTTACCTCCAAGGAGCATTCTGGATTCACCGTCTCCAGGACAAACATATTTGTTCTCCTAGCTGTCCAACACTCTTTCCAGCACCACAACTCAAAGGCATCAATTCTCTTTCTATCATCCCTATTCACTGTCCAACTCTCTGATGCATAGCATGTAATTGCAAAGACTATAGCCTGGATCAGGTGCACCTTAGTCTCCAGCTTGACGTTGTTGCTCTTCAGTACTCTTGAGAGGTCCCTCACAGCTGACTTTTCAAGATGGATATAGAAATGACTTTTTTAACTATGAAAGCAACCCCATTTTTCCTCACGTTTTCCTCTCCAGCGTAGACTAGCTTCGTATAATCAGTTCATTTTATCCAGTTAGTTTCACAACTCTGTTTGAAGGGTTTCTTTTCTGAATCAGTTTGTCAGGATAGCTTTTCCATCACTAAGGCGTGCCATGGCGGAAGGAAGAACTTTCCATTACTAACTATCAGGGTTCCCTTTGATAATGGGAGAAACCTGAAAATGTGGTTTAGTTGCTGTATGTCTGTTTTCTTTCTTATTTTATTAATTGAAAAAAAAAAAAAGATAATTATAATACCTTGAAAAGTCCTAGAAAGAAAGATGACATTAGTGGCAAAGCCGAGGAAATTCTTTGGTTTAGTCAGTAATACTGCATCTATAATAATTTTTTACTTTTGATAAATGTACTGTGGTTACATAAAATGTTATTAGTAGAGAAAGCTGGGTAAAAGGATATAGTAATTCTTCATACTATTTTCCAACTCCATGTGCTGTAGGTTACTTTAAAATCAAACCTTTTTTAAAGGTGAATTTAAATATTGTGAACTTTGAGAATGTTGTTGTTGTGTGCTGTCAAGTTGAGTATTCCTCATAGCAGCCCTAGGAACAACAGATTGAACTCTGACCTCTCCTGTGCCATCCTCACCAGCTCCGACATCTGGGACTCAATCCCATTTCTGCAGTCACTGTATCAATCCACCTGGTTGATGGTCATCCTCTCTTTCTCCAGTCTTCCACCTTTCCAATGATAATCCCTTTCCAATAAATAGTCTCTCTTAGCAACATGCTCATAGTATGTGAGATGACGTTTTATCATCTTTGCCTCCAAGGAGCACTCTGGCTGCACCTTCTCCAAGACACACCTGTCTCTTCTTTTGGTTGTCTATCGTCCATGGGATAAAATGTTGCTTATAGATTTTCAGAATTCAGTAGGTTGCTTTAGACTATTTGACACGGTGTAGGCTTTTTAACGTTACGGCCCTTTTTCTCTCAGCCTCATGTGGTTTGTGGTGACCAGCTTGTTCACAGCCCCTACATGCAGTGTCTGGCTTCCCTGGCCGTGGGGCTTCATCTGGATCAGCTCCTGTGTAACCCTCCGGTGCCACCTCACCATCAGAACTGCCTCCCAGACCCTGCTTCCTGGAACCCAAATGAATGGGCCTGGTTAGAATGCTTTTCAACCACCATAAAAGCTGCCGAAGCCCTGACCAATGGAGCACAATTTCCAGAATCTTTCACTGTTCCTGATCTAGAGCCTGTTCCAGAAGATGAACTTGTCTTCCTAATGGTAAATGTAACATGAGCTGCTATTGTTGACCTTGACGTGGCCATTTATCTTAAAGCAGGCCCCCAAAAGCATGTATTGACTTAGTTAGAAGCATACACATTTAACACGTTGCCACAAATGATGGCAAAATGTGTTTCTAAGCACAGTCGTCAAATTTAAAAGTGTGTGGCAACGTGTTAATCAAACTAGAACATATTTCCACTTTCATAAAGTCACCTTCAGTTTGGTAGACCACTGTGGTGACACCAAATAATTATCTGAGAACCATGAGGTTTTGTAAATATGGTCCTCCATAGTATCGCCCCATATCTCCTCCTTTCATTTGTCTATATGTTGCCTTACTAGTATTTAATTGCTATATAAAGAAAGTAGAAAACAAAAAAAGCATAAGAATCAAGGAAAATTATCTAAATGTGAGATATTTTAATTAAGACTTGTCCTTCTGAGTCCATGTGGCCCAATTTGGACATTATACAATGAGGATTGAAGTCCACAAAGCTGAAATGACCTGCCCCCAGCTATGCATCAAGTTCACAGGGACTGTGGCTCCCTGCATGTGACCCTGCACCTGACGTGTGGGTGCTCAGAACACACAAATAACTTCATTTAACCACCAGTGCTACAGGGGTAGTGAAAATCTTTAGAATTAAGGAAGATATTAGCAATACATAAGAATCAAATTTTACATGATTGCAAAACTGCACCTAATTTCCTATAATATTATACCATGTTCCTTCTTGGAAAAACTTCATTTTCTGTTAGAAACCAATAAACCTTGACTGCAAGATTGATCCTGATGTGTGCCCTCTTGCAGGATAACAGTAAATGGATCAATGGCATGGATGAACAAATTATGTCATGGGCAACTTCTAGACCAGAGGTCAGTAATGATAAAGTTAATTATATGGTGATGATCAGTGAATATTTTTTATTCTGAGTGCTTGTGTGTTTGTGCTGGCACGCGCTGGTACTCAATACATGTTTGCTTGAATGAGTGTTTCAGCTAATGCAGAGATGACTGTGGTTTTCTAGGACTGGCACCTGGGAGGTAAATGTGATGTCTACCTGTGGGGTGCTGGCCGGCATGGACAGCTGGCCGAAGCCGGGAGAAATGTAATGGTCCCTGCAGCAGCTCCCTCATTCTCACAGGCTCAACAGGTAACTGAGTAAAGAAATGAAAGAGAAACTAAGAAACTAAAAATTCTAATTCCCTCAGTGTTGGTAACTTACTGTGGGATAACCTTGGCCCATTTCATAGTCTATTCTAAGGAAGCACTAAAAGAAAATTCATGATGTATGGCTTTCTCATAAAAGTTGCATGAAGTTTCTATAGGGCAAAGGATCGACAGTCTCCTCCCTAGTGATTAACTGCCTTGGAAAATCCTCTTTGGAGGGTCAGCTTTGGGTCGATTCCAACTTGACAGTACTCTGCTGCTAGGTAGTATTAACAGATTTCTAGATTGGTCTTGCTTCTAGGTATATGAATTAACGTCGTAGTGTGTCAGGCTTGCCCAGTACATGTTGATAAACATTGAAATACTTCTTCGGTAATTCTTTCTGTGGAACTATAAGCTTCTAGGATCTTTAATTAGATTAACATTGACCATAGACATGACACACACTTATACCAAACATTGTATTATCGTTTCAAACTTTTCTTGAGGCTGCTTCTTTCTTAGCCTCAGTAAATACCAGAAAACGTTGTTCTTTCTTATTTTGATTTGTGTTGTCTCATTGAAAGTTTACAAGGCTAATTGATTTTCCATTCATTACATTTTATTTTATGACATAAATCACAATACTCACAATTTAACTTCACTCTTGTCATTTCATCGCTGTGATTCTTGGTTCTGTCGATCCTTTTCTCTTACTTGTTCCTGCCTTCTGAGCTTTATGTGCGGACGAATGCTGCCCTTCTGATCCCATGTGTGCGATTAGTCTGAGGAGTGAGTTTATCTGTCAGCCCTCCGCATGGTTCTTTCTTGATTACATCCCCTCTAGGTTCTGCTTCTTATTGATATCTAGGCGAGTCTTTAATATTTCCCCATCACTTTTCCTGTTTCTTCTTTTACTTCTTTTGTTGTTAATGTTAGGACTTAATTGCTGCATAATTGGCTGAAATCCCTGTATTCGTATGGCTCTAAATTACCCTAAATAATCAAGGGAGCCTTGTAGAAAGCCCATGGGTATATCAACCTTTTTTCTTTAGTGAAAAGATAAAAAGAACTGATAGAAACAACTGTAGGTATATCTGGAATCATTTCAAAAGTTTATGTGTTAAAGCTGTGTAATAAAGAATAATATATCATACTTACTTGTGCATTTTTTTGTACCAGGTCATATGTGGTCAGAATTGTACCTTTGTAATCCAGGCCAATGGTACAGTGTTGGCTTGTGGAGAGGGAAGTTACGGCAGATTAGGACAAGGAAATTCAGATGATCTTCATGTGCTGACAGTTATTTCAGCCTTACAAGGTAAGTTTATTGCCAGTTAAGAGCTGATCAGAAACTGCGGGCTAAATGCAGAATATTGGCTTATGTTGGAACTGATCCTACACCTTTCCTAGATAAAGTCAAATAAGATTTTCACTTATGTTCTAATTATCTCTTAGGTATGACATCATTTAGGCATGTGTTTAGACAGTTTTTGTACTCTTAGTTATATTCTTTTGCAACTAATTTATCATAACACTGTTAGAATTCAGCAGTATAGATAACTAAGATGATATGACAAGTGTTTAAAATCCTTTAACATTTCAAATTATTTTAAAAATTGCTCTACTATAACTAAACAATGACTAATAGTAATAGCAAGTATGTATGTTTGTTGTTATGTGCCGTCGAGTTGTTTGCGACTCATAGCTACCCCATGCACAACAGCCCTAAATCCTGCTCTATCCTGCGCCAACTGCACTGCCTCTTACACACCCATCCCGATTACCCCAGTCACCGAATCAGGCCATCTCATAGAGGGTCTTCCCCTCCTGCGCTGTCCCTCCACCCTCCCAAGCATGATGTCCCTCTCCAAGGACCCGTCCCTCCTGGCAACATGTCCAAAGTATGTCAGACGAAGCCCCAGAATCCTTGCCTCCAAGGAGTAGCTTGGTTTCATCCTCTCCAAGATGAATCTGTTTGTTTTCCTGGCAGTCCATGGTACATTCAGTACTCTTCTCCAGCACCACAGCTCAAAGGCATCAACTCTCCTTCTGTCCTCCCTAGTCATTGTCCAACTCTCTGATGCATAACAAGCGATTGCAAAGACCATGGCCTGTATCAGGCGCACCTTAGTCTCCAGAGAGACACCGTCTAATTCAAATTTTACATTATCTTTATGGAAATGTCAAATGTGTAAAAGATTTGAGAGTGCATCTCTGTAGAGTTCTCTGACTTGAAGAAGGAATAGTCCTGGAGAAAGCACTGCAGAAGCCCCTGATGATTCCTTAAAGAGTGTATATTGACTCTGGAAATCTATGAAAAGACTCCAGCTTAAAGGATTCAAGTCACAGCTAATTCAGAGCAAATTTTTTTCCTTGAGATCTAGATCTGAAGAGCTCAGCAGTGAGGGTGGCCACATAGGTTGAGTTCTGTTCAGCTCTGCTACATGTAGACCTTGCACAAGCTGCTAGATATTTTGACTCACTTTCCATGGTTATAAAGGTGAAGTTGAAAGTGATAGCAGTATGTGCCTCATGCGTTCTGTGTGAAAATAGAAAACTGAGTGATTCATTGAAATCATTTTTAAGGAGTACCTAGAACATAATCCTAGGACTAGGAATTGACTAGGAATCTGCTGTTGTCTTCCTCCCTCTTCTTGGTCATAATCAATTTTTTGGTGACTTTTTCTAATTTTTTAGTTTATGGCTACAAATGTGTCTTGAAACAAAAGACCGTTTTGTAAAAAAAAAAAAAATTGTAGTACCATTTTGATATCTTTTGTTTCTGGGGTGATTTTTTATTACAGCAGCTGTATGTGAAGAGTGGAGTTTCAACATCTCATAACTCTTACTGTTCCAGGCTTTGTGGTGACCCAGCTGGTGACTTCATGTGGTTCGGATGGGCACTCGATGGCCCTGACAGAAAGCGGAGAGGTCTTTAGCTGGGGAGACGGTGACTATGGCAAACTTGGCCATGGAAACAGCGACAGGCAGCGGCGACCCAGGCAGATCGAGGCCTTACAAGGAGAAGAAGTGGTGCAGGTGAGGCAGGACATGCACATGGTTGCCTTGGAGTCCAAATACACTGCTTCTGAGTAGTATATTTTGAGGTCAGCTCATGGCAGCCTTCTACCCAATGGAGAGTAAATTTTGTGGGAGCAGCCCCCACCATCTTTCGTCCTCGGAGTGACTAGTAGATTCAAACTGCAGACTTTTCTGTTACGAGCCCAGCACATAACACATTCTGCCACCAGGTCTTAGTTATTGAATAGGGTTCTTAAATTTAGAAATGGCAGGCAATAATTAAAATATAGACACAACCATTGTAAGAGACTCACTGTTTTTGTATGTTCGAGTTTATTCTTGAACTTGTCAGAAGTTTGAATGGGCTCTGGCGTTAGAAGGGACTCCATTTTCTGGATCCAGGCTACCGTGCTGCAAGCCCCTGGAAGAAACACTATGGGGTTTAGATTCTGCCACACAGCTCTTGATACACAGATAAATAGGAGGCTTTGTTTCCAGTCATATTTATTATTTACAGTGGTTGAGGTCACATGCATTTTCTGGACAATCAAATAATGATTTAAAAGAATATTATAAAATTGTATAACCCCTTAAAGCTAGTAAGCCTTTTCCCAGCCATTACCTCATTTAGTCAGGTCATCTGTACAATTGAAGAGCAGCAGTGATTTTCCCATTGTGTGCTGTTTAGCTTGGCTGTTCTAAAAGAACTAATTGGGCTGATAGACTATACTGAGCTGTTTCTTAATGTATCAACCGTCAAAAAAGATTTCTTTCTTCCTATGTGTCACCTTTTAAAAAGAAATTTCTCCCTGTTCTGTCTGTAGATGTCTTGTGGTTTCAAGCACTCCGCAGTGGTGACTTCAGATGGCAAACTATTCACCTTCGGGAATGGTGACTATGGTCGTCTGGGTCTCGGAAACACCTCTAACAAAAAACTTCCAGAGAGAGTGACTGCACTGGAGGGATATCAGATTGGACAGGCATGGAATAGTCACTAATACTCTCTACCTGACCTAAGCTTCTGATTTCTTCTGTGGGCATTTAAATACTCCCTTTTCACAAAGACCAGAATCACCAGTTCACCTAGCCCTACTTACATTTTAGGTGACCTAATTGATATATTTTCTAGATCTTTTCTCTATATGAAAATTCACATTGTTAGCTCAGCTATCATATGATTAGAAAGCAAGAAGAAACGTTAACTCAGAATGTGAACACTTTTAGCATTCCCTCCACGAAGTGCGAGTACATCTCGATATAAAGCTTTAAAACAGTTCAGGTCTGTGTGGCTCCTAATAGCCTTCAGTTGGGTGATTATACCACAGCATCTTTGGTAGCCACTGCTTCAGATCGGTGCTTTTCCTTGTCTTGAACATAGTAAGAGTATCTGTTAAGAAGGACATAGCTTGACCTTTTAAAAATATCATACCATAGACTCTTCTGCTGCTATGACTTTGTAGAATATATGTAATTTTTTGTGTGCTTTTTGTGCCCTCATTCTGAACTAACCACAAACATTTGAAGGATTTTACTTTGAAAGAAGGCAGTTATTTTTTTTCTCTTTAATTTGTGGAAATCAGAAATTCTTTCTTATTGACCCATTTTACCTAACAATGTGTATATGGCTCTGAAGCCAGTAATTTTTTTTTTAAAAAAAAACTACGGCCACCTTTTTTCACTGAAGTGGAGAGAAAAATGGTCCCAGAAACCAGGAATGTGTTTTTAGGTCTTGTGCTTTGCCTGACTGAGAATCCTGTTGTTTGTCCAGGTGGCCTGTGGGTTAAACCACACGTTGGCAGTGTCGGCGGATGGATCCATGGTGTGGGCTTTTGGAGACGGGGACTATGGAAAACTAGGCCTCGGAAATTCCACTGCAAAATCTTCGCCTCAGGTCAGTATTCATTTAATCTGTGTTTCCCACAATATACATCTTTCTTATCTATGTCAGTACTTTTTTATGGAAATGATTTACCTCTATCATTTCTGGTGATTTATAATGATTTCTGGCATGTCCAGCATCTTGATTTTAAGTAAGCCATTAATAGCTAACCTGGATTTAATAAAACCAACTTTACAAGGATTGGTCTCTTCCTCCGTGTACGGGTGAACACTGTGGGCTACCGCCCATGGAGAAAGGTTGTAGAAAACACTGCTCCAGAGTGTCTTCTGCAGGAACGCTGAACAACCCTGCCAGCTTCTGCTTTCAGCTGCCATTTCAGCTTATTAGAACTACTGAATTATCCAGGTATGCTTCTTGATTTTACAAAAGTGTGAAAGAAATTTGAGCAGACGATCCACTCACTCATTGCCGTCCAGTCAAAACCAACTCACAGCTTGGCCCTCCAGTGCATTTCTGAGGCTGTAAGTTGCACACAGGGAGATTACCCATCTTTTTCCTGTGAAATGGTTGCTTCTTGTTGTGAATCATCAAGTCAGAACGAACCCATAGCTGACAGTATAATCACATGCTCTTTGGAGGCAAGAATGATGTGGTTTTGCCTCACATACTTTGGGCATGGGCTATTCCTTGGAGAAGGACATGATGCTGGGAAGGGTGGAAGGTCGACAAGATTACCTATCTTCCTCCAGCAGAGCAGCTGATGGATTCGAACCAAGTGCCTTTGGGCTGGCAGCACAGCTCCATATTGCCAGATGGCACAGCTTTTGAGTGAGCAGCACAACTCCTACAGGGTAGGCCAGCAGAGCTCCCAAATAAAGATGATATCATTCACATTATAGACAGTTTCTTGGCTCAGCAGACTTCCCATGGCATTCTTTTATGTGAGCTTTTCTGACCTTTAACAAGTAGTGTGATTTACACAAATATCCAGTTCATGTTCAGCTTCAGATTCGCCAACGGCTGGAGACTGAGGCATCTTAGTAGCTAAACCAGTAAGTATTACATTAGTGATGCAGAGAACAAAACACCTGGGAACTGTATAAAGCAGTTATTGTCACCTCTTGTGTTAGACTTGTTACCTGAAGAAACATAAAAAGTGAAATACACACACACACACACGCATGCACTCTAAACAAATCATTCAAAAACTGGACTGTATGAAGAAGAATGTGGCATCAGAAATTGGAGGACGACTCTTCAGACAACCCATGTTGTGCAGATGACACAGCTTTGCTTGTAGAAAGTGAAGAAGGCTTGAAGCACTTACTATAGAATATCAAAGATGACAGCCTTCAATATGGATTACATGTCAACATTAAGAAAACAGAAATCCTCACCACTAGAACAGTAGGCAACATCATGATGATGTTGTTTGGTATCGTTGGGTAGACTGCAGCTCATAGCAACCTTAGGAACAGCACATCTGAACCTTGACTATCCTGTGCCTTCTTCACATCTCTGTCATGCTCAGGCCTGTTGGGCAGTCATTGTGTCAGTTCATCTCATCAAGGATCCCTCTATTTTGCTGACCCTCAAGAACTGGTTCTTCCTGAGATATACGTAAAGTAAATGAAGCAGAGTTTCACCATCCTTCTCTCCAAGGACCACTCTGGGTGCACTTCCTTCAAGACAGATTTGTTAGTGCTTTTGTCAGTTTATGGAATATTCAGTACTCTTTTTCCAGCACCATAATTCAAAGGCATTCATTCTTCTGGTCTTTCTTGTTCACTGTTTAACTTCCAGATGCATAAGAAGCAGTTGAAAGCTTGGATTGGGGCCTTTAGTCTTTTTTTAACTGGCATCTTCAGCTCTTTGGCAGCGTCCTTGACAGCAGATGTCCCCAGTGTAGCATGACTCGATTTCTTGGCTGCTGCTACCTTGGTGTTGAAGAATCGAGATCCTAGAACAATTAGTTGTGCTCATGTACATAGACAAGGAAACACTTGTCCATACAGAGCAAGGGAACACCACATCAGGAAAGATGTGTGTCAGGGTTGTGTCATTTCTCCATACTCCATACTGAATAAATCATTTAAGAAGGTGGACTATATGAAGAAGGATGTGGCATCAGGATTGGAGGAAGACTCATCAACAAACTGTGTTATGAATATGTCACACCCTTGCTTGCAAAAAGTGAAAATGACTTGAAGTACTTACTGCAGAAGATAAAAAATTATAACCTTCAGTATGAATTGCATCTCACCACCACAACAGATGGAGAAAAGGTTGACGTTTTAAGTGATTTCATTTTTCTGGGATCCACAGTCAGTGCACATAGCAGGTAGTAGCAGTCAAGAAGTCAAAAAATATGTTAAATTCGTCAGAGCTCCTGTCAGGGACATTGTTAAAGTGCCTAAGAGCAAAGACGTCAGTTTAAAGACTCAGATGTGCCTTATTTGCTTCATGTTCATGTGAAAGTTTGACAATCAATAAATACTGAAGAATTGATGTTTGTAAATTCTGATGTTGGTTGGCAAAGAGTATTGAATATATCTTGAATTGCCAAAATAACAAAAAAGTTTATCTTGGAGGAAGTGCAACTGGATTACTCCTTAGCAGCAAGAAAGGTCAGGCTTCATCTCTCATACTTTGGGCATATGTTTAGGACTCACTAGTCATTGGAAAAAGCCTACATTCCAGGTAAAATAAAATCCTCAGTCAGATGAATTGACAGTGACTGAAGCAGTGAGCTTGAACTTGGTGGGTACCATGAAGATGATGCAGGATGGGGCATGGTTTCTTTCTCTTGTTCGTAACGTCTTTGAGTTACAGCTCACTTGATGGCACCCAACAACAACTTTGTGTGGTGTGTGTGTGTGTGTGTGTGCATGTGCTCCTCTGTATGCACGTGTGTACACACACACAACCTCACATACACAGCACAGTATGTGATGGGAGTGGGGGAGAGAGATTCATTCAAAGTACCGGCCATTGAGTTTGGCAAGTCTCAAATCCATGCATCGGGATTTAGGCCAGAGGCTTCTGGCTCACATTGTTGCGGGGTCATTGTACCCAAAATTAGCAGAGCAGATGGCAGGCTACTAACTCGCAGGGCTTTGGGAGCTCATGAATTTGAAAATCTGCAGGCCTGGCAATAGGCTGCTGGCTCATGTCCCAAGAACTGAAGGTTAGAAAACAGTGAGTTGCGTGTAGGATCCAGAGCAAGCATGATCTTTACTGGACTGTCCGTTTTATAAACTTGAAACAAGCCATACTCCAAAGGAAACTCTCCTTTCAACTGATTGACTGTTCATAGGATCTCCTGGCGTGGAGATGATTACAATATATCATGTTTTACCTTGGAGGTGATTTTATTATATTACATTAGAGTATAACATAATAGATAGAAGAGCATAGTCATATATGCCAAAGCACTGTGGGTCAGGCACAGCCTAGCCATGTTGTTAGGTAACATTATCATCATACCTCTGAAAGAGGGAAGTATCTACCAGGGAACAGCCCCTGGTGTTCCACGACCTTCAGTGCTCTTTAAAAGGCTAATTGACTCTCTTTGGCCCAAATTCAAGAACATTTGAGGATTCTTTTTTCCCTGTTCTTATTTCAAAAATATACTTTGTACTTTTTTTTTTTTTTGCAGAAAGTTGATGTCCTTTGTGGAATTGGAATTAAAAAGGTTGCTTGTGGAACTCAGTTTTCTGTTGCATTGACCAAGGATGGTCACGTCTACACCTTTGGTCAAGGTAAGGCATTTTCCAGCTCACAGTGCTCTGTATATACATGCATGGTAGAAACGTCTGCCTCCCAGTTTTAAAGAGAATGCTCTAGATTGAATCCCCGTGTTTGGTACTGACTGGTGAGTGACCACTGTGAGCCTTATTCCCTCGTTACTGTTCTTCTCCTACTTCGGAGACTTTGTTGTAAGGACAGACTCCCTCCTCTCTCTGCCATTCATAGCCCTCAGGCCAGAGTCTTCACTCTGGGCAGAAGCATCTCTTCAAAGCTCCTCTTTTTCAGCTCTTTTTTGGACTCCTGCTGCCACAGATCATGCATGCTGCTCATCTGTGCTTCCTGCTTCTCTCCTCAACCCTGTGGGCACTGGGGGCTCAGGCCTTAGGAATTAGAGGAATTGCTGGACATTAGCACTCCCTCATGCTGGCATCTGCAGTGAGACTCCTTGGGGCTGTTTTGTGCATCGTAAATGCAGCTTCTTAGCAAGTTGTAATGACTGATGCACATGTGAAGAGGAAGAGAAGTAAACTGTCACTGCCATTTCTAGTCTTGGGAGAGCATCAGTGTCACTAACTGAGGACAGGGAGCAATTTGAAGAGAAAATGCCATGTCTGTTTTTGTCATGTGGAATTGGAGCACCTGTCTGAATACATGATTGGAGATCTCCAGCAGCCTACTGGGCATTTGATCTGCAATTGCAGGGAGATTAACTGTAGAGAAGTAGGCTTAGAATGTTAACTACAGAATGATGGTAACTAAAATCAATTTAATATTATCTGAGAAATGCCAGGAGATTCTGTAGAAGCAGTGGAAACTCTAGGGAGTGTGAGTAAAGGAGAGATAACCACAGTAAGGAAACTGAAGAGATTTGGCTTTGAAAGAGGCAGCAAGAGAGGTTCTGTGAACTGAACTAGTGCAGTGTCTCTGAGGCGTGGTAGTTAGAGGATCAGGCAATTGGAAGGGTACCCTTTTTTAGGATGCAAGAAATAGGACAGTATGAACTATGTATCAGTCTTTTCAGATAGGGGGATATTGAAAACTGATGGTTCGAAATAAGCTACTGACTTGAAACTGAAAAAAATTCCGTTTTATTTTCATGAATAAGACTGATAACATTTTGCAAAAAAAAAAAAAAGTTTCAGACCCCATAAATTCAAAATCCATTATTGCCAGAATTGCAGCAGCTTTGGCCTCCCAGTCAGTTTTGTTGTATTATCGCCATTCCACCATATAAAGGTAAATGCCTTTTTAGGAAACAGGAGAGCACTGGAGTATGTCATCGCTAACGTTTGCTCTTGCTGTTGTTCAGATCGCTTGATAGGCCTACCGGAGGGGCGGGCTCGCAACCACAATCGACCGCAGCAGATCCCCGTCCTGGCCAGCGTGGTCATTGAAGATGTGGCCGTGGGCGCTGAGCACACACTTGCTTTGGCATCAACCGGAGATGTTTATGCCTGGGGCAGCAACTCAGAGGGGCAGGTAAACGTGGACCCCGTGTGCACCAGCTGCTCCCTGAGCCATTCTCAGAAACTAGAAATTCACTGCCTGCCAGTCACTTGCCAGCTGTAGTGACCCTCTGTCATGTGTCCAAGGCTGTAGCGCACAGTGGGAAGAGAGGGCCCATCTTCTTCCCGAGGAGCTGCTGAGGTTTTCTAACCACGAGAGGGACGAAGCTTTTGTTAACAGCACAACTCACAACAGACACGGCCACCAGAGCTCGCTGAGCAGCCATTTGTTGTTGTTATGTGCCACTGAATCAGCTATGACTCGTGGTGGTGGTATGTGCAGTCTAGTCAACTCTGACTCATAGTGACCCTCTGAACTCTGTCCTATCCTAAGCCAATCTGTCTCCAACACATCTGCCTCTATTATCCCAGTCACTGTGTCAATTCATCTCATCCTGGGTCTTCTTCTCCTAAGCTGTCCCTCCACCCTTCCAAACATGACCAAACAAGGACCAGTTCCTCCAGGCAATATGCCCAACAAGATGTCCTCCTCCAGCAACCAATCCCTATAGGCAACATGCCCAAAGTATGTGAGACAGAGCTTCAAAGCTTCCTTGCCTCCAAGGAACAACTTGGTTTCACCCTCTCCAGGACAGAAGACCTGTTTGTTATCTTGGTGGTTCATGGTATGTTTAATAGTCTTCTCCCTCACCACAACTCAAAGGCCTCAATTATTTTGTCATTCTTAGTCATTTTGGTGACCCTATAAATAACAGAGCAAAACTTCACTCTATCCTGTACCATCCACACTCTTTCCAGCATGTTCAGACTCACTGTAAAAGTCACTGTATCAGTCCATCTTTTGTTTTTTTATTAATTTAGTTTGTTTATTTTTTATTTCAATGAACATCTACAGAGATTTTGGAATATATCAGTCCATCTTGTTGAAGGTCTTCTTGTCTTTCTTTGACCCTACACCCTTTTCCCGTCATAGCATCTTTTTCCAAGAGCCGGCCCTTCCTAACATACCCAGAGTATGTGAGACAAAGCTTCATCATAGTTGCTCCGCTGGCCTAGTGGTAAGAAGCTGTGCTGTAAGCCCAAAGGCGCACTGTCTGAGTCTACCAGCCGCTCCATGGGAGAAAGCTGGGCCGTCTCCTCCCCTGCAGTTAACTGCCTCTGAAACCCACTGGTCAGCTTTGGGTTGGTTCCAACTCAGTGGTACCCAGCAACAAGATGGAGCATCCAGGTTGTACTTTCTTCAGGACAGATTCGTTTGTTCTTTGGCAGTCCAGGGAGAATTCAGTACTCGTTGCCACCACCACCACAGTTCACAGGCACAGATGCTTCTGTCAGTCTTCTTCATTGTCCAACATTCAGATGCGTAGGATGCAATTGAAAATACCATGGCTTGGATCAAAACCACATAATGATACCACCACAGCTCTTTTAGAATGTTCATTGTTACTGTGTTATGTGCCTCCAGTGGGTTGTCTGAGGCTGTAAATCACACTGGAGGAGAGGGCCCAGCTTCTTCCCTCAGAGCCACTGATTGGTTCTAACCATCTGTCTTTGAGTTGGCAGCACCTTACCCACTACATTAAGTCACCAGAGCTCCTCCAATTAAAATGGAAGTCAGTGATATGTAAAATAAAAAGTAGAAAACAACAGGTGTTGAGGAAGCTGTGGGAAATCTGGAATTTCATTCATAACCTTGGAAAACAGATTAGTGCCTTTGTGGTTCCTCAAAAAGTTGAGCATGACCCAGCAATCCCAATCCTAAATATGTAACCGAGAAGAAATGAGAGCAAGGCTGTAAATAGACTTAGACACAGTGTTCATTGTAGCACTTTCACAGGGTGCAAAAGGTGGGTATAGTGAAAATGTACAGCAACAGATGAATGAAAATGTGGGATATGCATGCAGTGAATCAGTACTCAAAGAGAAACAAAGTACATGCATGCTCAACATGGATAAAAAATTCCAAAACATTACATGGAGTGGAGTCAGTCAGTGCAAAGGGACAAGTATTATATGATCTTGCTTATATTAACTTAGCATATATATAAAAACTGAAGATGATTAGGGCTGAGAGAAGAGGACAGGAAGAGTGTTTTTGCTTAGGGAACACTGACCTTGTGTTATCCAGTACTTATCTTTATCTGGGATAATTTGGAAAAGGATAGTGAAAATGTCATGTGACATGAAAAATGTGTCTCTGGATTACACTTGAAGAAATTGTTTGATTAGCAAATGTTTTGTGTATATATATCCATCATAATCAGAGAAAGCAGTAAAAATAATATGTTACATCAGTGCCTGCAAGAGATCCCTAAAGGTGAGGTCGGGAAAGGGACTGTGTCCCGCGTGCATTGTTAAGGTCTGTAGTGATGACAGCAGTGAGGATAGTGTGAAGTGAGAATTTGTAGACTGTGTTTATCACAAAGTCCAAAGTAAGGAGGTGGACAAAGGTCTGTTGATCAAGTATGATGGAGGTTTGCTTTCCCCAGCGTGACAACTGCCGGAGCTGAGACAGGTCCCTGTGCAGAGTGCCCTGTGACAGCTTCCTACTGGCGGCGTTTGTACACGTGGTTCCAGCCTGGGAGCATCAGTTGATCTGAGAGTGGAACGAATGAAACAACAATAATACATATTTTATCACTTGGCATTTTACAAAATATCTTTTTGTTTATTTGGGAAGGTCATCCCTCTCCTTATTCTGAAGAGCAATCTGAGTCTCTAAGAGATTGAGAAAAGACACAGGAGGTTGGAGTGTTCTGCCTTCTCTACATACAGAGAAAGGAGAGGCTCTGACAGGTGTGCCCGAGATGACTGCTATCGTGGTGGTTTTTATCCTCATGCAGGGCCTCCTTCTCCTTCTCCATAAATCCCTCCAAGTCGTCTGTGCCCTTCACGCAGAGGCCCTGTATTCACAGTGGCCTCACTTTGATCCCTTGGTCTCGTCACTGAGTCACCAGATGGGGAAGCTGCACGTAACTGGTTGGTTGGTGTCTTAGTAAAAAGACTTCTTTGTGAGTTCTTGGTGAGACCTTGATACTGTCCTCCCTAAAAATGTTGAGGCACTTGGCTGCTACGTACTGGCTGTCCCAATTTGACTATAAGATCAAGAAAGAAGAATGTGCTTCTGTGTATGTTTATAGATAGTGTTTCCATCATTACATGTTAGTGTAATTAATGTTAAAAAACAAGAAATCAATTTCATTTAAGTAAAAACTACAAATGATCCTGTTTTGTTTTTTCAGACACAGATAGAATTGAGCTGTTTATTCAGTTATAAAGACTCATTGACTAGAATTGGAATTGCTCTGTTGCAGCTTAGGGAGCTCTGGTGACCTAGTGGATGAGGAGTTGTGCTGTCAACCCTAAAGCAGGTAGTTCAAATTCTCCAGCTGCTTTGCAGGAGAAAGATGGGCAGCCCCCTCCCATGTGACTTACAGCCTCTGAATACGTGTGAGAGGGTCAACTAGGAGCTGATCCCGCCTGGACGACAGTGAGTGAGTGAGAGAGAGAGTGTGAGTGAGAGTGTGTGTGTGTGTGTGTGTGTGTGTAAATCAGAATTTATTTTGTTACTTTGATGATATTGCTTTGGTACAAATATCATCAGTGTATTTGTATCTGTTGCCATCTAAGATAAGCCTCATCATTTTGCCTTCTCTTCCTCTTTCTAATTGAATCTCTGTGTTATGTGTTTGTAATTAACTCCTAGCTCGGCCTAGGCCACACCAACCACGTCCGCGAACCAACCCTGGTGACAGTTTTACAAGGGAAAAACGTTCGGCAGATCTCAGCCGGCCGCTGCCACAGCGCTGCCTGGACTGCACCACCTGTCCCGCCGAGAGCGCCAGGTGAGAGCAGCCTGCCCCTGGCTGCAGCCCCCGCCTCAGCGTCCCCAGCTGCACAGCCTGCTTGCCAGCTCCGAACTGCAGCCAGGCCTGGTTTTGGAACTGTCACGCTTTCTCCGACACAACCGGAGCTCTCTTTGTGCAGCTGGCACTGGAAACACTTTCACAGCAGGCACTTGTCCTGCTGACTTCATTACAAAGCCGCTGCCTCTGTCCACCGCTTCCCCTGAAGAAAACTTAGCAAGCAAAGTTTATCGTTTCAGAGCAGCAACTATGTTCTACGTATTAAAGATGTGATAAGGTGTAGCTAATGTAAAGGAGGAAAGGCTGGCTCTCCATAATGCTAAATAAAGAAAATGTTTTAAAAGGCCAATACATTAAAAGACCAAATCTTTGTGAGAGAAGAAAAGACAGATTTATGATGAAGCACATAGAGCAAAGTGTTAAAATCATTGAGTTTAGGTGGTAATAAAGACTGTTCATTTTACAGTTCTCTAAATTTCTCTTTGTGTTTGAAATGTCTCAAAACACTGTAAGTGATAATGCTTTTCCTTTTATGAACACGCTGTGTTTTCTGGGCCAGGTGTATCCATGCCTTTGCAGCTGGGCCTCCCCGACACAGTGCCCCCCCAGTATGGGGCGCTGAGGGAGGTGAGCATCCACACCGTCAGGGCCCGGCTGCGGCTGCTTTACCACTTCTCTGACCTCATGTACTCGTCCTGGAGACTCCTGAACCTCAGTCCCAACAACCAGGTAACGGCTCGCAGCCATCAAAGTGCTACCAGGTCACAGGCTTCTCTCAGCCTTGGAATCTTCTTCCCTAGCTTCTTTTCCTTCACCGACAGTACGGGAGGGGGAAAGGCAACAATTCTAGACCCATTTTATTCTTGACTTAGGAGCAGCCCAGATATCGATGGTCACACTGCTGGACACAAAGTGGTCTTGTCTTCATGCACCGTTGTAGTTTGTCCAAAGGTCAAGGAAACATGGATACAAAAGCCTGTATTTTCTACAAAGGCTAATGCCTCATTTTAACACCTCAGCCCCCTCATGTGTTAGCTGGCACCAGAGGCATGGCTGTCCCAGCAGTGAATCTGAGACATAAGGAGTAGGGTATTTTTCCTTTTTTTTTTTTAATTTACTATTAATTTCAATGACAATTTACAGAGACTTTGGATTTTCATTCATTCATTGTTGCACTTTTCTCCTCTCCCAACCCTCCCCCCTAGTACACTACCCTCTTGGAAAAGTAAATGAAAAATTCTTTCATTGTTTTACAATCCCTCCCCCCATGTCCACTCGACTATGCAGCCTTCACTCTGGACTCCTGTCATGACAAAAATACCTAATCACATACCCCTTTTAAACAGTTTTCTCCCTCATCTGTTTCAATGCAGTATACATTATTGAATCCATCTTTCTCAGGCTCCTCCCAACTCCGAGGCCAGTCCTGTTTTACAACAGTGGCACCGTGCAGTATTTGTCCTTTTGTGACTGAGATACTTCATTCAGCATAATGTCCTCCAGAGTCACTCATTTGAATAATATTGCATGAGTTCCTTGCTTTTCAATGCGGCGTAGTATTCCATTGTGTGAACATACCACAGCTTCTCTATCTATTCGTTTGTTGATGGGCACTTAGGTTGTTTCCAACTCCTTTCTATTGTGAACAAAGCTGCAATAAACATGGTTGTGCATAGGAAGTTTCTTAAAGATGAGCATTTGGAGGCCTGTAGGAGTAGGAGGGAGTAAAGTTGAATGATTTGACTGCCTTTACGGAATGTTGTTGTCGTTACGTTCCATCAGATCAGAACCAACCCACAGCTGGCTCTCTGGTGGATTTTCAGAGGCAATTAATTGCATGGTAGGAAATTGCCCATCCTTCTTCCGCAGAGCTACTGGTGGATTTCGAACCACGTGTCTTTGGGATTGCTGCACAGCTTCTTACCACTAGACCACCAGAACTTCTTAGTCTGGTATTTTATTGAAAAAGCAAGATAATTTGTTTGCTTAATATGTAGGTATACCTGCCAAAATGTGTGTCAGTTATAAAACTGCCAAAAACTACTCATAGGGCATATGAGAGATTGACACGTTATAGATGATCAGCTAGGCACAGAGCACGGAGCAGCCTAAAAAGCTTTCTAATTAGTGGGAAAATGTTTATGATGTCAACAATGGAGAGGAAAGTATGTATACACACAGAGAAGAAAACAGATCAAAGTATTAATAGAGCCATCTCTAAATAAGTTTATGAATTATGTTATTTGTGTATGTGTGATTATCTGCATTTTCCAAGTGGTTTTTATAATAATCTTACTCTCTGTTTATTTTTTTACTCTATGTGTGTACCGTCAAATTGGATCTGACTGGTACAGGAGGAGTTGGCCCCTCCTTCTTCAGCAGAGCATCTGGTGGATTTGAACCACATACCTCTGGGATTTCAATGCAGCTTCTTGCCACTAGGCCACCAGAGAGAGCTCTCTTAATTTTTACTATTTTGAAAATTACTTTTTTAAGTTAATAACCTTAACTTACAACTTTTATGTAACAAAATTTTACATTTAAAGTGGAGTTGTTTGGGTTTTTTTTAAGGGTTTATGTTGTAAAAGTGAGAAGTAGCATTTCTTCTGAGCCCTGGACAGTCTCATTCTCATTGTGTTCTCTGTTACAGAACAGCACATCTCACTATAATGCTGGCACGTGGGGCATTGTACAGGGACAGCTCCGGCCTTTGTTAGCCCCGAGAGTCTATACCCTCCCGATGGTGCGCTCCATAGGAAAAACCATGGTCCAGGGCAAGAATTATGGGCCTCAGATTACTGTAAAGAGGATATCAACCAGGTAAATGTGAAGGTTCTGGATGAATTTTACTAACTAACCCTAGTGTCCTCATTTCTGAAGGGAATAATAACAGTGCCAAATACAATAATAACATGGTACTGATAGCATAAGGAAATTAAGTGATAATAACAATAATGCTAATAATGTCAGACCAAATATGGTAACAGTGGTACTGATAAGTACCAAACGTGGTAATAACAGTGAGGGCAGCCAAATGCCCAGTGTTACTAACTTGGCCTGCTCATCCAGTGCTGGGAAGATACCATTAAGTAACATTTGTGGTGCGTTGTGGAAATTGTAAGAGGTGTATTTCATTTCCTTCTCCCTTCCTTTTAAAGAGGACGCAAGTGTAAGCCCATCTTTGTCCAGATAGCAAGACAAGTGGTTAAACTGAATGCATCAGACCTCCGCCTGCCCTCCCGAGCATGGAAGGTCAAGCTGGTTGGAGAAGGGGCTGATGACGCGGGAGGAGTATTTGATGACACGATCACAGAGATGTGCCAGGTATTGTCGTGCAACGTCACCTGCCAGGTGGTGGCTGTTTCGCTGTTTCCAGTGATAACTCTGCCCAGCACATTTTTATAAATATAACAAGGATCCATCCGTGAGCTTCTCATAGTCATGCTGGTAGTGCACATATAGGTGAATTATAACAAAGGCTTTTTAAAGGAATTACTGACTAAATGCCATCTACCAGTGCTTACCATCTGCTGGGCTGTGATCTTGCCATGTAAACAATGGCACATGACAGCACTTATGTAACAGACAGATCTAGGATGCCCATGTATTTAGCCTTACCGGGTAGGCTTTTGGAACACACTAGACCTGCCAGTCTCTGGAAGTGCAGGAAGGGATGGGAAACAGTCTTAGGAACTCAGACCAATTCTGATTTTTAAGACCCATGGGGGTTTTGCTTCCAAATACCTCTAGTATCTACCTTTTGTTGTTGCTGTGTACATTTGAATTGGAATCAACTTGCAGCTGACTCTAAACAGGTTTTCAGAGCCAATAAATGGCACAGGAGTTGATTGTCTATCTTTCTCGTGCAGAGCAGCTGGTGGATTCAAACTGAGTGCCTTTGAGTTGGCAGCACAGCTCCTTAGTAGTAGGCCACCAGAGCTTTTCTGATCAATTCCTATTGATAGCTTTAGTGACTGAAACAGCTTAAACCATATTAGCTGATTTTGGTCACTGTCCCTTGCTCACATAGACAAATTCCTGCACCAGATTGAATTTCTCATTTTGGCTTTTCATATTACAAGATCTGTGGGATAATTTCCGTATAGGAGATTTTCTAATTTTGTTTCTTCAATTTATATATCAATTTGTTTAATATTATAATGAAATGTGCAAGGAGTTGGAGTCAGAAAATCAAAAGGGGCAAACTCACTCAGCATTTCTTAAGCTCAAGGAACTGAAGAACAAATTCAAACCTCGAGTTGCTATAATCAAGGATGCTTTCGGCAGAATGTTAAATGGTCCAGGAAATATTAAAAGAAGATGGAAAGAATATACTGAATCACTGTATCGAAAGGAATTGACAGACACAGAAGAATTTCATGAAACAGCATATGAGCAAGAGCCTATGGTGATGAAAGAAGTAGTTCAGGCTGCTTTGAAGGAAATGGCAAAAAAATAAGGCTCCAGGAATAGATGGTATACCATTTGACATATTTCAGCTAACAGATGCTGCCCTGGATGTGCTCACCAAGTTGTGCCAAGAAATCTGGAGAACAACCACTTGGCCAACTGACTGGAAGAGATCTATATTTGTTCCCATCCCAAAGAAAGGTGACCCAACAGAGTGTGGAAACTATAGAACAATCTCATTGATTTCACATGCAAGCAAGATTCTACTTAAGATTCCAAAAACGACTGGAACAGCACATCAGCAGAGAACGGCCAGAAGTCCAGGATGGGTTTAGAAGGGGTCATGGTACTAGGGATATTGTAACTGATGTTAGATGGATCTTAGCTGAAAGCAGAGAATACCAGAGGAATGTCTATCTGTGTTTCATTGACTATGCAAAGGCATTTGACTGTGTGGATGATAACAAACTGTGGCTGACTCTGAGAAGAATGGGAATCCCAGAACACTTGATCATTCTGATGCAAGACCTATACTTGCACCAGGAGGCAGTCGTCAGAACAGAGCAAGGGAACACTGCATGGTTCAAAATTGGGAAGGGCGTACGCCAGGGATGCGTCCTATCTCCATACCTTTTCAACCTGTATGTAGAACAGATTATCCGGGAGGCTGGGCTCTATGAGGAGAAATGTGAGGTCAGGATTGGTGGAAGATTTATCAACAGTCTGCGATATGCAGATGATACAACCCTGCTTGCTGAAACTGAGGAGGACCTGAAGCACCTGCTGCGGAGGGTCAAGGACTGCAGCCTCCAATATGAATTGAGGCTCAATGTCAAGAAGACAAAGATTCTCACCACTGGACCAATTGGCAGCATCAGGGTGGATGGTGAAGAGATTGAGATTGTACACAGCTTTAGTTTGCTTGGCTCCACAGTCAACACTCTTGGCACCAGTAGCCAGGAAATTAAACGGCGCATTGCCATGGGAAAGTCTGCTGTTAGGGACCTCTCCAAAGTACTGAAGAGCAATGGTGTCTCTCTGGAGACTAAGGTGTGTCTGATACAGGGCAGGGTCTTTGCTATCACTTGTTATGCATCAGAGAGTTGGACAGTGACCAAGGAGGATAGAAGAATTGATGCCTTTGAGCTGTGGTGCTGGATAAAAGTATTGAGAGTACCATGGACTGTTAGGAAAACAAACAGATTCGTCCTGGAAAGGGTTAAACCGGGCAGCTCCTTGGAGGCAAGGATTCTGAGGCTCCGTCTAACATACTGTGGACATGTTGTGAGGAGAGACCAGTCCTTGGAGAAGGACATCATGCTTGGGAGGGTGGAAGGACAGTGCAGGAGAGGAAGGCCCTCTTTGAGGTGGATTGATTCAGTGACTGGAGTAATCGGGATGGGAGTGTCAGAGACAGTGCGATTGGCACAGAACAGAGCAGTTTAGGGCTGTTGCACATAGAGTCGCTATGAGTCGCAAGCGACTTGATGGCACATAACAACAAGAACATGTAAATGGAAAGTACAGAAAAATATGAAGCTAGCTGGCTATCACATAGCATTATAAATGCCTTGAAATATATAAGTATAAATGCTCTTTTCAGTGTGGCTTTTACTGTAATTTGTTTTCTTTCTTGATTCATTGGATGATACTTTTCTTAAAACAATGTTTTTCTTTCCCAGGAACTTGAGACTGGTATAGTTGACCTTCTTATACCCTCTCCCAATGCCACTGCAGAAGTGGGTTATAACAGGGACAGGTAAGGCAGTCAGCAGGTGTTTAATGAATGCTGCGATAATTATAATAGCTCGCATTTATTGAGCACTTACAGTGTTTCGTGTATGTACTGTTCTTGTTACTTGATAATACAGAGTTACACACACTGTCCCATTGCATCATTTTAACTCGGTGGGCTAGGTACCCTTGTTATAGTTGAGGGCACGGAGGCACTTCCTTCGTGAGTAGGATTTATTGTGAGAGCGGAGCAGAGGAAGCTGAAGCTGCATCAGGAGGCCTGGCTGTTTATGTGGTTCTGAAGTGCCACGTGACCTCTTCTCAAGTAATTTTCGGAATCAGGATCTCAGTAAAAGTTACTATGCTATCAAATCATAGCACTTAATATTTGTGGTTATACATTATCTTTAGAATTGCTAAATTTTTTACTTTGGATTTCGCTTCATAGAATTCTAAGTCAGAAATGATCCTAGGACATAAGCTATTCTGAGCATGTAGCTTAAATATTAAGAGACCTTTGGCCTGCCCTTTTGTGGTTCTTTGAAAATAATCCATAATATGATCCCATGTGCTGTCTAAAAGCAGCTCTGATGGTATAGTGTGTTGCATGTTTCATTGCTAACCAAAACGTCAGGGGTTCAAATCTACCAGCTACCTGAGGGAGAAAGATGGGCAGTCTTCTGTCAAGATTTACCACAGTCCACTCAAAATTAACTCTAGCAGGGGCTTTGGGTTTTGAGTGTCTGGAACAGTAGCCACAGGCTGCGAGTGATAAACATTTGAAATGTGGCTAATAAGACTCAAGAGTAGAATTGTTTTTCGTTTACTGATATAATTTAAATAGCTGAAAGTGGCTAGTAGCTGCCACTTTAGATAGCACAGATCTAGACTGATGCTGTGGCTTCTGTGTGACTTGACTTGATTGTAATAGAAATGGGGATTTTTTTTGTGAAATACTTTCTTTAACTCTGCAGGTTCCTTTTTAACCCCTCTGCCTGCCTTGATGAACACTTAATGCAGTTTAAGTTCTTGGGGATCTTGATGGGGGTCGCCATCCGCACAAAGAAGCCTCTGGACCTGCACTTGGCCCCTCTGGTGTGGAAGCAGCTGTGCTGTGTCCCGCTCACCCTGGAGGACCTGGAGGAGGTGGATCTCCTCTACGTGCAGACCCTCAACAGCATTCTTCACATTGAAGACAGTGGGATTACTGAGGAGAGTTTCCATGAGGTAGGCCATTGTCTTTCTCAGTCTGCTTGTGTTGGCTTCTCCTGTGCACTCATTAGAAATTTTCTGTGTAAAATTCACAAATTGTCTTTCATGGGAGGCTCAGGATGACCGGAGTTCATCACTCCTTATTTGGGACAGAGAGATCTAGCCTTATGTCTGACTATAGCCAGATGAGTCAGCATGTTCCCTGAAAGTAGCTTGGTCAGTCACCCCATTTCTTTGCCTTTGACGTTGATACTTTTTGCTGTATTTATATGTGACATATTTCTTGTTGCCTTTTATATTTTGTATTAACTAAGGATTTTTTTTTTTAATTCCTAGATGATTCCTCTTGATTCTTTTGTTGGTCAGAGCGCTGATGGCAAAATGGTTCCCATAATCCCTGGTGGAAATAGTATCCCACTCACATTTTCCAATAGAAAGGAGTATGTGGAGAGGGCCATTGAATACCGACTTCACGAGATGGACCGCCAGGTGAGATGACACCTCTAGATTGTGCACGAGGCTTCTGTTGAGTTGACTTTGTTCTGTGATGACATATAGTAAGTACTTAATAAATTATGAGGGTATGAATTAGTGGCCATAGAAATGTATCCAAAAATGGTTCTTTAGGTTGTTCCATCATAAATAGTCATTTATGTATTTCAGAGCCTTCGTCTGCTGAGGCGGGCGGGGGGACCTTGAGAGCTCAGCCTGGGCCCTGAGGCTGGAGTGGTCCTTTGGAGTGTGTGCATTGCACAGTCCCTTCACTCCTGCTTCCTTTTTGACTCTGCCTTTAGGCCAAATCCAGTCAGAGGGGCACATCCCATCATTCCTGCTCTTTGAAGCCAGGTCCTGTCAGTAATGCTGGAGTTTACTAGGGAGGAAAGATGGGCTCCTAAAGTGGACTTGAACTGGAACCAACAAAAGTATAGTTGTCCCAGAGGATAGAGCTGTAGAAGCTCTATGGGGTTCAGAGGGAAGGAGAGTGGGCCTTGCTGCTGCCTGGAGGTCTGAGGGCTAAGCAGTGGTAGGTCTGGGAAGTAGGCAATAAGTCCTGAGGCCAGTGAGGCCCACAGTGGCCCCCAGAACATGCACACACGACAAATGACAATCTCCCCTGGGAGCAGGTGGCTGCGGTCCGAGAGGGAATGTCTTGGATCATCCCAGTGCCACTGCTGTCCCTCCTCACGGCGAAGCAGCTGGAGCAGATGGTTTGTGGGATGCCCGAGATCTCGGTAGAGGTTCTGAAGAAGGTGGTGCGGTACCGAGAGGTGGACGAGCAGCACCAGCTGGTGCAGTGGTTCTGGCACACGCTGGAAGAGTTCTCCAACGAAGAGCGGGTGCTTTTCATGCGCTTTGTCTCAGGAAGGTCCCGGCTGCCAGCCAACACTGCTGACATTTCCCAGAGATTTCAAATCATGAAGGTTGATCGGGTAAGTAAACGGACTCCCCCCCTTCATTAGTCATGCCTGCCCTGGTTGCTGTCTTACTGCTTCCGTGTTGGGAAAGCCAAGTGGTATTCCAGTTCAGGCTAAGGCATGAGATTTCTAAATTTAAAAAAATTAAAAAAAAAAAAAATCAAGTAGTAAAACTTGTTCAAATAAAAGTCCTCACTGGGAATAATGCACACACTTAAAACCGGTAACCTTCTCTAAAAGGCGCAGCATCTTCCTGAGTTAAAGCTGAGCTAGGGCAGGAGGGATCACTCACTGCTGCTTAATCCTTAGCCATTCCACTGTGTGGCGTGTGTGCTGGCCATGCCTCTCTGTTTTCATGAGGACACTAAGCATTAGCTGGTGCCCATGCTCCCAATGAGCCTGAAGAGAGGGCACGGCCAGCCCCGCAGCTCTTGGTGACGCATGCACTGTGGGGGCGGGGGTGTTGCTGCTTCCCCGCCTGACGGAGACCCCAGCTGCAGGGCCCCAACCCAGCTGCCACTTTGACAGATGGCTCAAGAATAAAAGGGCTGAGAGTCTAAAATGCTCACAACTGCCCAAGCCTTCTCTCTCGAGGAGCAGTCTGACCATGTCATTCTCCTCCTTTTAGACCTTTTATGGGCCCCCCACATTGACTCCAGAATAAATGCCAACTCCTTTAGCCTGTCCTTAAACACCGCTATAGTCAGGCCTCTGTTCCACTCGCTGACATCACCTCTTGACACACATTATGTTCAGCTATAATGGGCTGCTTGCCTTTTTCCCCAGCTGACCGTGCTCCCTGCCACCCACCCATTCCCGCCTTACAGCCTTTGTACAGACTGTTCCCTTTAGTAAGTCTCCAAGCCCCTTTCCATCTGTGCCTGGTTATACTTACTTACCCATAAGCCCAATACCAGGGTCATCTCCTCCAGGAAGCCTTCCTGGATGCTTTCCTGAGCTCCCACCCCACTCCTGAAGCAGGCTTGTTCAGACCTGCCTGCCTTCTAAACATTTCCAGTCTAGGGGCCCAGTTGCCACACCTGCTCCCACTTTCCCTGAGCAGGGCTGCCCTCTCGGCAGGGCCCCTAGTGTTTATTCAGGAAATAGAAAGGAAGATGGGGCCCCTTTCCACAAGGCCCTTCTTGCCAGTTTAGGCAGGTTTCCGTGTTTGCCTTTCTGGTGTTTTTCGGCAGTGACACCTGGTTCCTCTCCCTGCTGCCTCCCGAGCCTGCTGGCTCTGCTCCTAGGCTCTGCTCTAGGGAGGCCACACACGCGAAGAGCTATGAAAAGAGGTTTTCCATAAATTTTCTACATGACTTCCCAGAAACCATAAGTTGTAAATCTTTTTTGTTGCTTCAGAGAAAAGTGGGGAGGGGGAAATTGTTCACTTTTATTCAGCTTTGCAAATAACTGTTGCCTTATATCTGCCATGGGACACCCCCGCCATCCCAGAGTTAATCCCTCACTAATCCCTGCACACGGGTTATTTGCCTCAGAAAAGTGACCAGTAAGGGCCTCTCCTTTTTTACTTTTAGACCATTCTCCAGTATACAAAGTTCTGTGCTGAGGTCCCTGCTTGGCGTCCTCGGCTGAGGTCGTGAGGCTTGAGTTCTTCGGTATCAGTGTCACCGGGTCATCCCCTGTCCGGGCACTTAGGCTGCTGGACTCACTCTGGGGGGTTTCTGAAGGGGGAGACCTGCTTGCTAGAGAGAGCAGACCAAGAAAGAACAGGACAGGTTCTTTATTTTTAAAACAAACTTCAAAAGAAAATTTCTAAAAATGTCATCCTATCATATCTATCATTGCTGCTAACCAAAAGGTGATACTCAGATCCACCATTGCCCTTTGAGAGAAAGACGGGCGGTGTCCTATTGATGTTTACAGCCTCTGAAACCCAGCAGAGGGTCAATAGGGGTCAGAATCTGCTGACTCGAGGACAGTGGGTTATCGCTTAGAATAGTTTGGAAGATGGTATACAGCAAGGAGCAGGGAATGTAACACGTTTGCCACAAATGATGGCAAAAAATGTGTTTCTATGCACAGTCGTCAATTTAAGTGTGTGGCAATGTGTTAAATAACGTTTTCAAAGAGTAGCTATTCCTGCTGTTGTGTATTTCCTCCCAGTATTAGATTCAAGCATACACATTTTGCATGTTGTTGTTGTTATTGTGTACTGTTGAGTCGGAACCGACCCATAGCTGACCCTCCAGTGGGTTTTCAGAGGCTGTAAATCACATGAGGGGAGACTGCCCATCCTCCTCCCATGGAGCAGCTGGTGGATTTGAATCATGTGCCTCTGGGTTGACAGTGTAATTCCTTACTACTAAGCCACCAGCGCTCGCTACATCACTTTGCATGATGTACTTAAAATTTTGTATTCGCATATCATTCAGTAGTCTAATCTGAGCACTTTTTGCTGCATACCATTATAATTATGATTTTGAATGACTGCATCACAGTTCAGTGGCTAGGCCGGGTTTTAATGTAGTGGTTGCGCTTCCTCAGTGAGCTATGTGCAGCGGCCATGGCGGGTGAAGGGTCAGGGTGTAGACCAGGAGGACAGTGAGGAGGGGGCATACGGGTGGTCGAGCTCCTGTCCCCCATCACCGTCCCTTCCACCTCGCATGCCCTGGGTCAGAGATCCTGGCAGCGGCATCAAGTCTTGGTGGGAGTGAATGGACACTTGCTGCACTCTCACCCTTTGTGCTCAGCGTGTTCCCTCAGGTAGTTGTGCAGGTCAGGGCTCATCCCGAGTTAACACACGAGGGTGCTGGAGGAGCGAGGAAGGGAAGTGGGGCCCTTGGGGCGCAGTGCTGCACGGCCCAGCATCTGCCGCCCATTGGAGCTGCGCATGCCCTCATGTCCTTGGCCCCTCGTCAGAGGCTGAACAGGACCCTCCTGCCTGGGCCCTGGGCACAGTGGGCACTGCAGGCACGATGGGCACGGTGGGCATGGCCCTCACAGCCTGTCTCTCTCTGCAGCCCTACGACAGTCTGCCTACCTCACAGACCTGCTTCTTCCAGCTGAGGCTGCCGCCCTACTCCAGCCAGCCGGTCATGGCCGAGCGCCTGCGCTACGCCATCAACAACTGCCGCTCGATCGACATGGACAACTACATGCTCTCCCGCAACGTGGACAATGCCGAGGGCTCCGACACCGACTACTGACCACCGGGGTGCCCCACCCCCTTTTCCTCTCAATAATGCTCACTTCCAACTTAATGTTGATAAACTTTTATGGTAACTACATAGATGTTTTAGGAGCATAAAGTGACATTATAAACAGTGGCCACATTTAGTTATTCTAAATGTAACAGACAAATTAGATGTTTTTATTTTTCTGTGATTGTACCAAAAAAAGAACAAAAAAAGACAAAGTGCTCTCAGTCAGGTTTTTCCCCATATTTTTGATCACTTTTGATAAGTTTGCATGGAAACATTTTGGTGCATTTTTAGTTGGGAATGGTACATTTTTGTAAACCCACCCAGTGAACATGAAATTGTACATTGTGTATAATTGTTCATTAGAAAGGACAGTTTTACATGAATATTCATATATTTATTTTGTTTTAATTTGAATTGCCTGTGCAGGGTTCCTTAGGCAGAGAAATAAAGCAGATTCAGGACGCCGTGCATGGGCTGCTTTTGTCCCCTCTGATCCCGCAGAGCTGGCCGCCGAGCCAGACGTTCGCCCAGGATGCAGACGCACAGCTGTCCAGGTCTTCTCAGCCCGGCCACATTTCAGCCTCTGTGTAGACGTTCCCTCATGTTTCCACCTCCTACCCCTGGGTGCAGAAGCCCCTGGGACTGGGAAGCCTTACTTTCTTTTTTCTTTCTTTTCTTTCTGTCCTCCTGCCTCCTCTCACTGTTCACTCACTGCTGGCTCCAGGTCACCCTGCCCGCCCTCTGCCACCACCACCCTTCTCCTCAGCATGCCAGGTGCTGGATGAAGAGCAGAGGTGGTGGCCTGGGGGTCATGTTTTAATGTGAAGAAAGGTCGGACGTCTGCATTCCTCAGTGGGTGGCTCTGTTCCCCGTCCTTCCCATAGTCCTGTGTGCTCAGTGGACAGCAGTTTCCTCTTGTTATTTAGAAGTCACAACTCAGCTTGCAGCCACTGAGTCAGTGCCAATTCCCAGCACCCTCCATCGGGTTCCGAGGCTGTTAATCATAGGAGGGGCTGCCCATCGTTCAAACCCCCTGAGACATGTGGCCCTCACTGTGAACCACCACAGCTCCCTTATTAGAAGACACAGTTAACTCAAAGTTTGATTTTTATTTGACTTAAAGGGGGGGACTTGATCACAGCTGACCTGGGGAGCAATGAAGAAAACTACCCAAAGCTAATTTGGTCTTAAGAGAGCTCTGGTGGACTAGTGGTAAAGAGTTGTGCTGCCAACCCATAGGCAGGCAGTTCAAATCCAGCATCAGCTCAGCAGGAGAATGATGGGAGGATCCTGTGATTTACAGCCTTTTAAAACCCCCTGCAGTGTCAGCTATGAATAGGTTCCAACTTGGTGGCACTGAATCAGTCATTCACTTTAGTCTTAGGAGTCCCTGGCTGCAACAGTTAGCTAGTGAGTGACTTGGCTGCTGACACAAAGGTTGGAGGTTTGAGTCCACCAAGAGGTGCCAAAGAAGAAAAGCCCAGCAAGCTACTTGCAAACAATCCACCATTGACAGCCCTGCGGGGCCACCTTTCCCCTGACGTGGGGTCTCCACTGGCTTGGGGGTTTGTGTCCATTTGATATTCTTCCCATTTTACAGATGACTAAATGGAAGCTCATTTCGTGAGGAGGATGGCTATGACTGGAATGCATCCAAAGCTAATTTCATCGACTGTGTTCTTTCCAAAGGCAGCAGTGCTCTGTCTGCTGGAGGCTGCCCTTGGCTGTGTCGGGAAATGATATATGCGCCCCAAGGGCTGGCTGTTATAACTCCTGCCCTCTCTGCTGTGGTTGACTTAACGGCTTTTCTTTAACAGCCACAGCAAAACTAGTATGGGCTTGGCTCGCCTGGGCAAGAAGGAAAGGGTGCTCTGGCCCCACCAGTGCAGGATTTGAGATAATAAAATGAGCAAGCAATGGCATCAGGAACAGGGCTGTTCACAACACGGTGCTGGGCAGTGAGGGCGGTGGGAGGAGCGAGAGAAAGGGCCGCTGATGCGTGTAGACAACTTGGCAGGTTTGTGTGAGCGAGTGTGTGAATGAATACGAGAATGAGTGACTTGCACATCCTTGATGGAGGTTGGTGAGGACAAGGGGCTGGGAGGGATGTGGCGGTTCATTGGTGCCCTGCTCTTCCTCATGGTTCAGCCGTGTTAGAATAAGCGTGTGTTTCTGGGGCCAAGCAGCTATAAAGGTTTTAACTGCCGTGAATGAGCAGGAAAAACGACAAAACATATAGGAGGCAGGGTCTCCAGAGAAACTACCAATGAGAGCACGGGCGGGAATGTATGAATGCTGTAAATCCTAACCTGGGTCGTCTTTATTATGCTAACGGAGCAGGATTAGGGTGGGTGTCCCCTACATCAATCTCTCCTGAATATATAAAAGAGCTGAAAACTAGTGAACACAGAGGACCATGAGACAGATGCCAAGACAAGATGGAGCTTCCTCCAGAGCCCTCCCAGAGGAGAAGCCCTGCCCTCCAGCTGGCACCTGAATTCAGAGGTCTAGCACGAGTCACAGTCGACTGGACAGCACCTAACAATAACATCAAACTGTGAGAGAAACTTCTGTTTGTGTTGGAGTGTGTGCACAGTCACGGGCCACATCCTGTCCATCAGGCCCACAGGTGTGTTTACGGTCCCGTAAGGTAATACTGGAGCTCAGAAATCCTGGTCTGAGAACAGGAAATAGTGGCCATGACTGAGTGGAGCAAACACAAAGCTTTCCACATGCAACACGAGTATCTTGTGTTTCTTGTATACGAAGCAGCTGTGCTGCCAGGCTTGTAAAGATAGACATACAGCCTGTAAGGCATGTATCTCGGTAGTCATAACACATACCTGTGTTACAGGCTTATCTGTTTACTTCTGTTAATTTAAAAACTTTTCCTGCTTACAAATAAAAAACTTCCCATAGGACAGTATTCTAAGCAGTAGCACACAGTCTTCTATCTCTTGAGTGTTATATTATCTTTGGTTTAATATTCTTTTGAGAATAATACCTTGAAGTGCATCATGACTCCCCAACACAGTTAAACCAGTACTAGAATAGTAGCAGCAAGAGGCAAAGGAGAAGCGTACACTTGGAAGTGGAACGATACTAAACAACACGTTGTCTGTGATGCAGGCATGTTTGCAACAACACCCAAATGACGTAACATCTTACTTCACAGGACGTATCACAGATTATAACAAGCGTGACTGTATGTTGGCAGCACAATGAGCTTCTTACCACGAGGCCTGCAGAGCTCCACGCGGACACACACACGTATGTAATACTGGATATGTGAAGATGGGCTCCTGGGATCAGGGAAGCTGGCCAGTCTGGGTTTGCAGGCCAGGCCAGCAGGCAGACGTCGACGCTGCAGCCTCGAGGCAGAATGTCTTTCTTAGGTCTTTCAACTGATTGGGGTAATTCTCTCTCACATTATCTTGGTAATCTCTTTAAAGTCAGCTGATTATAATGCACCTAAAAAAAGATCTTTATAGCAGAACACATAGGTATTGGATTAAATAACTGGGGCTTGATTATGGCAGAGGTTATGAAGACAGGGCAGCGTTCAGATCCATTGCTCACAGAGTCACTATGAGTTGTGGTTGATGGCACCTCACAACGGCAGCATAGCCTGGCAAAGTCGACACAAAATTCATCATGACTGGTGGTTGCTGATAGCCAGCTCAGAAGGAAGGCCAGACAAAAGCTGCAAGCAATTTTTCTCCATAAGGAAATGGAAAGAGTGTTTTGGAAGGAAAGTAAGGTGTGTGGAAGTTTTCGCGTGAGAACACTTGATAATATTTAGAATGATGACATCATAGTTTGAGGGGAAAGCCTTTGAGACACAGCTTCTGGTGAGCCCCTGGGGTTCTGGACAGAGATTTAAGATGTGATCTGAGAGTTCAGTGGCAGTGGCACTGAGGGGCCTGGGCTCACAGCATTGGCTCTGTGGGTGGGACGGTGCTTGTCTGACCCCTGTGCCAGGAGGGATTTTCCCTTAGAGAAGGGGGGTCTTCTGAGTGTCTACTGGTGACAAATGACCCTTCCCTCTTGCTGGGCTGAACTGTAGATATGCAGACACCTGTATTCTCACTTTATTAAAATTCAAAATAATGAGCTGCTTAGCCTTTGCTGCCTGTTTGCTTAAGAGGTTGCAGAAACAGCCCCAGCAGGCAGACCCTGTGGTTCCCAGCTTTATAGGGTGGGCTTAATGGACAGCTTCTCAGGGAGTTAGACCCTTTGAGGCAAAATCACACACATACCCACACCCCCCTCAGTTTTCTGATGCCGTATCTTTAAATTATCTTTCATTTTCTGGACTTTTTAGCTGCTCTGAGGGAGGAGAGGTCTGGGTTCTATCTGAGGCACTGAAGTAAGTCTGGTACAGTTGTTTGTTTGATTCACTTTCAGCCCCTGGAGGACAAAGAGGCGCTGTGGAGCAGTGGTGGTGCAACCAGTAAGCACTCAGGCGCTGACTGAAGGCTTGATCACTGAGACGAATGATCCAGAGACCTGCTCCTAGGAAACCCAGTTCCACTCTCACAGAGTTAGCTCGACAGCCTTGCCTTGGGCACAGTCCGCTGGCCTATCTCAGTTAACAGACACTTGCTAGTTTTACGACTCAGCAATCTAGAGAGAGCTCTGATCACCAGACTTTTAAGATTTCTGCAGAAGCCCTTCATGGGCCAGCTTAGTTCTGGGCCTCCAGGCTGGGTGGCCTGTGTCCAGCACTGTCTCCTAGACCTTGGTTTTTAGAACTGGCAAACACCCAAGAATGTTTGAGATTTAAGAGTCTGCAGACATTAGGCATGCAATGCCCCCTGTTTTATAAGAACCTTAAAGAAGACTGAAAATCCTTCTTTCAATCAAATAGGGCACCATCTTCCCTCAAGATGCTTCTGGGTGGTGCAAATGGTTTACACTCAGCTGGTAATACACTCAGTTCTTGCCCACCCAGCAGTGCCGCAGAAGAAAGCCCTGGAGTCTGTGTCTGTAGAGATTATAGTCAAGCAAATGGTATGGCGCTCAGTTCCACCCTTAACACACTGGTAGGTTTCCATGAATCGGAATTAGCTCAATGGCAACAGTTTGGGGCTTTTGTTGTTCTGCCAAGTGCTTTAAGCTATTGTTGGGAGCTCTGGGGGCCCTAGTGGCAAGAAGCTGCCCTGAAATCCCAAAGGCCACCAGCTGCTCTGCAGGAGAAGGCGAGGCAATCTCCTCCTGTGTGAGTAACTGCCTTCTGGAGCTATGGGTCAGTTCCAACTCTATGGTACACAACAACAACAAGTGGTGAACAGTAACTGCTAGAGGGTGGAGTTGAGAGCCTGGAGTCTAATCAGTGCCTGTCATCTGGGAGCACATCCCATGGTTCTTGGCTCAGGAACTGAAAACTTACCTGGGGGGTAAGATGGGGGAAGGGCAGCTGGGATGCATCACGGCCAAATTAGAGCTGGGAATGTATTCGACTCCAGAAACCACATTAGACTGCAGAGCACTGCTTTAGTTCTGCAGTTGCTAGTCTTGGTCTGTGGAAGAATCTTGGCATCTGAGAGAATCTAACCCCATCAATATAAATGAAAGAGACTTGATGGCAAAGGGGCCTCAGGGAGACAGGTCATCCAATTGGCGGTGAACCCACAGTGACCCCTGCTTTACAAGCACAATCTCATAATCCTCACAAGAATTCCACAAGGGAGATTTTCCTAGCTCTCCCCAGAACAGTTAAAGCTGAGGTTTGCAGAGAGCTGACCTTCCTTCACAGTGCTGGAAAAGGAGGGAATGGGAATGGAGACCTGAGTCCATCAGAGCCTGTGGCGGGCCAGGAACCTGCTGTTGTTCCCCAGCTAAATCTCCAACTCAGGCAAACAGTGCCTGCTGTGAGTTGGGGCTTGTTGGAGATGATGAAAGCAAAGCCCTGGAGCTTAAGTGGTTCTATTTTAGACACTTAACCCCCCAAAAGCCCGAGCTGCTTTTCAGCATTGTTAGCCCCAGTGGGAGAAAAAATCAAAGCACCTCGCTAGAGTTGAGAGCAACAGTGGGTACCCCAGGGAAAAGCCTGGGCTGGTCAGACTCGGATTAGGGCCCTGGCTCTCCTTTGTAGCTGGTGGCAGAAAGGGTGCCTGCTTCTCCAGCACGAGGATTAGCTACCTTGTTGGTGGGACAAATCCTGGCCTTTCAGAGTCCTCCAGCCAGTGTCTGATCCCTTGAGTGGTCCCCAGAGAGGTGGGGACAGCTTGCCTGCCCACATCTTCTGCCAGGAGACATTTGAGCCGTTTGGGACCTGCTGGGGTCCCTTGATAAATTTTATTCACACAGTATAATCTGTTTACTCAAAAAGCTATTATCTAGGTCTCTTTTTCTACCTACTCCCTTCCCTCACTGGCCCCCTAGCACACCAGCCATGTTCTGAGTCCAGGTGCTTTGCACTTGCTGTTCACCAAGACTTGAATGTTTTAACTCCTGGTGGTTGGGCTTCCTGCTTCATCTCCTTCATGGCTTTGCACAAATCTTATTTCAATAAGGCTTCCACTGGCCAGCCCTTACCAACACTCCCCACCCACCACCAAACACCGCCTTATATTCCGCTTACTCTCCACTAAAGTCCATGAGAATACAACTTTAATTTGTCCTCCTTGTGATCTCAGTATTTGTTCAATAAACGAAGGAGGTCATGAATAGGGACGAAGATCTTTTTTCACAGTGAAGGCGTGGCTGCGGGTGGTGAGGGCGCCTCTTGGTGGTCACTCATTGCTGGCCATGTGCGAGGCGGGGAGGGGAGCTTATGCCACCACTTAGCGCCTTCTCGACTTGACTGCCCCTAGTTCCTAGGACTGCTGTAACGAGTGACCCCAACACGGGCCAGAAGGCTGCTGTGTGTCCAGGAGCCCTCTATTTGACGTCTATATATGTGGGTCACTTGTGGCTCAAGTCCAAAAGGAAACTGACGTCTGATCAATAGTTCAGCAGGTCAAAAATTTAGCTTTGCATTAGTCTATAATCCTTAGATTATCCGTATAATCACGGGATTTAACAAGAGAAGCAGGTTTCCGCTCACTTGGAAGAAGATGGCCTGGACCTCGTGCCCCATGTCCCCGCCCCCCGTCTCCCCCTCCTTCACAGGCGCCCCCAGCCTCCCACCCAGGCCCTCCAGTGATTGTTCATGAGAGAACTAGAGGCAGACGGGGACATTTACTGAGACCTGCTCCAGTGTTTCCCACGCATCGGTTCGTTTAATATCGCAAGTGTAAAATCGTAATGTGAGGTAGGCGTTATTAGCCCCATATTGCAAATGGGGAAACTGAGGCTCAGACGAGGTGGAAGTGGAGGGATGAAGGCTTGGAGGCGGACCGGTGGGACCCTAGCGCGGCAGCAGCTTGCGGGAGGCCGGGCCGGGCAGCGGGGCGCCGCGCGGGAGCTGGTCGGGGATCATGGAGGCGCTGCGCTCGGCGCGCAGGGCCAGGCGCGGGCACGCGGCGCGTAGATGGCGCAGGCCGGCCGCGCTCACGTTGCGGCAGAAGTCCACGTGCAGCGTCTGCAGCGCGCGCCCGTGCGCCGCCACTGCCGCCAGCGTGCGGTTGGTGACGCGCGCGCAGTTCTCCAGGCGCAACGCGCGCAGGCGCGGACAACAACGCAGCAGCTGGGCCAGGCATTCGTCGGTGACGTGGCCACAGCCTGACAGCGTGACGGACGCCAGGTTGGGGCACCTGTGGGAAGAGGGCGGTCACGCGAAGTAAGGCCGAGGATGGCGTCCTCCTCCCTGGACAGGCCTCTTTCAGGGGCCCTGCGCTCTATTAATCCACCCAGCAATAGTGTTGTTTTGCTGTCTAGTCTGAACCGACCCATAGCTGATCCTCCAGGTTTTCAGAGGCAGATGATGGCACGAGAGGAGATTGTGCATCCTTCTCCCGCGGAGCAGCTGGTGGATTTGAACTACACATTTTTTGGAATGGCAGCGCAGCTTCTGAGCACTCCATCCACAGACCCTGCATATTATACCAGCCGAAACAAGCAGAGCGAGTTTAAGGAACTCACCCGTGGTCAGGACTTGAACCTGAGCTTTCTGCCCCTAGCCCGGTCCCCTTTGCGGCCATTGTACAGATTAACCTGTCAAGCCCAGAGGCTGACGTGCAATGGCTCTTAGCCTCAGGAACCCGGATTGAGGACTCAGCCCCAATCCAGCCAGAGGGACCCAGGGCTGTTGTGGATAGAACGACGCCAGTCCTGGGATTGACAGCTGTTGGTTCTTCTGGAGGATTAGGAGAAGACGCTGTGCGTTTTTACTGCTCCACTTTAGCCTCGCAGGACCTGGGTGGGAGATGGGTTTTTGGAGGTGGTGGTGTGGAGAACTTAGTGGCAGTCCCCTTCCCACCTGCAAGACCCAGCAACCTGCCTTTGAGCACTAGTTCTAGATATAGCCCTAACTTCAGTTCAGTTGAGCAGGCCAATCAAAGCATCCTCAACTGGACCCAGCCTGGAAAAGGGAACAGAAGCAGCAAGGAGACTGTCAGACCCTGAATTCCCCCGGGGAAGCTTGCTGGGCTCTGCTCCAGCCAGTCCAGGGCCCACTCCACTCCACCCCTTCCCTTTCACGTGCCTTCCACTGTGTTGTGTGTCAACTGTCTGTGCGCTTAGTTTTGTTCATGAAGAAGGTGATCCAGAGAGCTGAAATGATTTGCCAGTGCTACTCTCAGCTCTGGCCCCCTCAGATTGTCACCAGAGATCCTTGTCCACTAAGGACCCTGGTGTGGAGACAGTGGTGTTTGACTCCTGACAAATGTCTTGGACCTTGTGGGGACCTTCATCTGGAAAGGAACTGCTGACAAAGCCACATTTTACTAGAATCCTTTCCTTCTGTGCAAGAGACCGGAATGTAATTCTCTTGTGCAGCCACTAATAGTGGAAACTTGCATGTTACTATGATGGACAGTTTTCAGCAGGCTTTTAGGCTGAGGCAGACAGGGGCTGATCTATTTCTGAGAATCAGCTGTGGAAAAGCTTTGGATGGCAACGCTCCATCTACAGCCAGTCCTGGAGAGTGCAGGAGGTGCAGGGCCGGCAGCCTTTCACCTCACTGGTGGCTGGAGTTGTTGGGGAGTCGCTCCGTGGCAACTAAGGACAGCAGGGTCTAGAAGTCACATTCTTGTTAAATTGCCAGAGAGGTGAACCTTCCTGCGGGTCTCGGGGTTTTCAGAGGCTGTAACTCCTCGTTCTCCCACAGAGAAGTCAGACTAGCGGGTGCTAAGTTCTAGGGAGGGAGGAAAAGAAGGGACTTCACACTGTGGCAGTCTGGCAATCCTAGGCTGTGGGCAGGTAGCGCCACTTCTGGTAGTCCATCTGCTCACTTGAAAATTAGGTGAAGATTAGTAAACCTCGTTCCCCCTCTTCAGCCAGATTTCACAGACCTGAGGGTCCCCTTCCAGAGGGAGAATAGAGGGAGGGTGACTGCTGAGATGGGGCCTTGCTGAGTGAGGCCTGTCATTGACAATCCAAGGCCAGCGCACCCACCCCGCACTGCACCCGCAGGGCAGCCAGGAAGGACAGCTGCCTGGAGGACAGCGGCCCGACAGGCGCGGCTGACGCGGATTCTCTCTGGGACAGAAGCAGCTCCAGGCCCTACGAGGATGAAGGAGGGTTCGTTTGGCCGAGGCGCCCGCGGTGGAGCCGTGCTGACGCTTCCCCGCCCCGCAGCCCGCCGGCCGCCTACCTGTCGCACACCTGGAGGAGGAAGTCGTTGACCAGGCTCTCGTGGCGGCTGCAGATGCTCCGCTGCAAGGCGCTCTTGAGCCAGTCCTCGACGCTGCACACCTGCACGCGGCTGGAGTGCCAGCAGATGGAGAGGCTGCGCAGCGCGGGGCCCAGGCGGAAGTTGTCCCTCCGGAGCTCTGTGAGCGAGTGGAAGTGCAGCAGCGGCCAGAGAGCGGGGTCCTCGAACACGTCGCGCAGTAGCGCGCAGGTCCCCGCCAGGTTCTTCCTGCTGTCCTTGTCCAGGAAGGAGAAGAGGTGCAGCAGGCACTCGCGGTTGAGCTGGGTGATGTGCATGGTGCTGTGGCGGCGAGCGGCGAGGGCGGCCCGGCCGGCGGGGGACCTGGCCCACCTCCCGCCGCTCCTCCCCAGCTCGCCGGTGGACATATATGGTTGAGGAATGGTGTTTATTTTTGGCTAACAACTGGTGCTGAAGCAGAGGAGGGGGAAGCGAGCAAGCCAGGTCCCAGACATACGTACAGCCGTCTGTGGTTCGGCTTATGTTCAGAGGGATTGAAATCCTGGCAGAAAAGCAGCCTATTGAAATTACGGAGTTACCTTAAAAGGGATTTCTTTCCTTTCTAGAAAGCAGAGAGCTCTCGACTTTCCCCGTGGCATTTTCTCTTCAGGCGCCTTGACTGGCTGTCTGGGTTTGCCCACTTTGCACTGGGGGGGGGGGCCTCGCGCCCTAAACACATTTTCTTACCCAGTACACAAACAAGAACCTTTTATCCCACCCTAAAAGGAGGAAGCGATAAAAAGGGCTAAGGCTGAGAGTTCTGAGGTCAGATCCTCTTTCCAGTGGTATTTTTCTCTCAGTGGAGTTAGGGAAGGTGTGGCTACTTTCTCTGTGCAGAGGACTTTCCTAGGCCTCCAAGCCGGCTGTCTTCACCAAGTTAAGTACTTGTAAAGTTCTGTTACACTTGCTTTTCTATTTCTCCAATTAATGTCATTCTGCTGTAGTTCCCAAAATGTCAGAGAGGAAGTAACTCTTTAATACAAAATGTGTGGGAATTCTTTAATCTGTTTTTCCTTTAAGGCAGCTTCGTCACTTTTAGATGGCACATATGGTGAACAGCCTCGCTCTTAACCAAATTAGTCAGTCCCACCCAGAGGCACATCAGAAGAAAGGCCTGGCGATATACTCCCGAAAGGTCACAACGTGAAGAGCAGATGGAGTACAGTTCTGTGTGCTCATGGGCTGGCCCTGATGAGATCATCTCGAAGGCTGCTGGTTAGGCGTTTCTCTTTGTGATGCTTTCAGTTTGAGAGCCTGGGGGTCCAGATGCTGGCTGCTGGCCTGGAGATACTACCCATCAGCTTCTCCCTCTCCAGGGCATCCAAACTTTCCTAATATGGTGAGTCTTCTAATACTGCATCACCTCCAATCCTGGATGACTGCCCTTAACTCTTTCATTGTCTATTATTATTTTGGGAGAAAAAAGAAAAGTCAGACTCACCACCTGGCTCATACCAACCCTCCATTGGTTTCTGAACCTGTAAATCTTCATGTCTTCATGCAGAGACTGCCTGTCTTCCCCATCTCCCCCCAACCCCCTAACTGTGCCTGCTGGCTTTAAACTGTGGCCCCGTGGTTAGCAGCCTGGGAGGTTCTGCACTTGCTGATAGAAAAAGCTGCCGGCACCAGTGTGAGAGTGAGATAAGGGTATTCCTGGACCAGCTGCTCTTGGTACTCACCTGTCCTGTTTACTCCAAGATCTTTGTTTCCCAGTTGTGTGCACCAGCACAAGGGAAGCCACTAGACTTGGCCACCTTCTACAAGTACCACCTGAACACGCCTGTGCAGTACTGCCTGGAAGAGAGGTCCTTTCTCAGCAGCTCCTTTCTAAGCAGTGTGTCAGTTGATCCTCTTTTGTCTCTTAACCCATCTCCACTGTGGTGAAGTGGTAGTGGGAGCCTTTCTTTTAAAAAACAAGAATCAAGAACTACCTAAAATTAATTCAATGAAGGGGTACTGGTAGTGTTGTTGTCTTTGACTCACAGTAACCCTATGAACAAAAGGCCTGAAGCCCTTCAACAACTATGGACATTTATCAAAGTTCATAGTGTTTCCAGAGGCATGTTATTTAGAAGTGGATGCCACTCCTGCTTCCAAACCTGTCACAGTATGTTGTTGTGTGCCACTGAGACACCTGCGATGTAAAAACTATACACACTATTATGCAATCTATACATTTGGCTGACTCTGAGAAGAATGGGAATCCCAGAACATTTAATTGTGCTAATGCGAAACCTATACTTGGACCAAGAGGCAGTAGTCAGAACAGAGCAGGGTAACACTGCATGGTTCAAAATTGGGAAGGGTGTACGCCAGGGATGCATCCTTTCTCCATACCTTTTCAACATGTATGCAGAGCAGATTACCCGAGAGGCTGGGCTCTATGAGGAGAAATGTGGGGTCAGGATTGGTGGAAGATCTATTAACAATCTCCGTTATGCAGATGACACAACCCTGCTTGCTGAAACTGAGGAGGACCTCATGCACTTGCTGCGAAGGGTCAAGGACTGCAGCCTTCAGTATGGACTGAGGCTCAATGTCAAGAAGACAAAGATTCTCGCCACTGGACCAATTGGCAGCGTCAGGATGGATGACCAAGAGACTGAGAGTGTTCACAGCTACAGTTTGCTCGGCTCCACAGTCAACACTCTTGGCACCAGCAGTCAGGAAATAAAAAAGCGTATCGCGATGGGGAAGTCTGCTGTTAGGGACCTCTCTAAAGTACTCAGGAGCAACAGTGTCTCTCTGGAGACTAAGGTGTGCCTGATACAGGCCATGGTCTTTGCAATCGCTTGTTATGCCTCAGAGAGTTGGACAATGACTAGGGAGTACAGAAGGAGAATGGATGCTTTTGAGCTGCGGTGCTGGAGAAGAGTACTGAATGTACCATGGACTGCCAGGAAAACAAACAGATTCATCTTGGAGAGGATTAAACCAAGCTATTCCTTGGAGGCAAGGATTCTGGGGCTTCGTCTGACATACTTTGGACATGTTTCCAGGAGGGACGGGTCCTTGGAGAGGGACATCATGCTTGGGAGGGTGGAGGGACAGCGCAGGAGGGGAAGACCCTCTGAGATGGATTGATTCGGTGACTGGGGTAATCGGGATGGGTGTCAGAGGCAGTGCAGTTGGCGCAGGATAGAGCAGGGTTTAGGGCTGTTGTGCATAGGGTCGCTATGAGTCGGAAACGACTCAACGGCACATAACAACAACAACAATACATTTGTTAATTGTAAGCTTTTTTTCTATGCATCAAATAATCATTGATTAGCAAGCTAATCCATGGTATAAATATTGGGTGTGCATCTTTTAAGCATTAATAGATCTTTTCAGCAAGGGTTAAGTATTAAACTGCATCAAATATTAAGTATTGAAAACTAGCATCAACTTTAGAGACAATAGCCAGAAATCAAACTCTATACAGTATGAACCTATATGGAGTTTTTAAAGCCTGAAAAAGAAACTGTAAGAATTACAAATATATATTGTAAAATGACAGAGAAAAGCATGAAAATATTTGGACAGCATTTAGGAGGCAGAAATGATGGGTCTGACTAGAATAGGGGAATGTTTACTTACTGCTCCAACTTTTAAGATTGAAAAAGTGATGTTGTTGTTTTAAAATATTAATGTATTATATGCCAAATAGTTTTATTCATTTATAAAATTTTAATTCTAATTAAATATTCACCTACTTTCATAAGAAATAAAATTCATTACTTTAAAAAAAATGCACTTAAATTTTCTTTGAGCTCGTAGTTTGCAGAGTAGTCAACCCAAACTAACACAGCCATCCTAGAGGAGTGGTACATCGGAGTCCTCAAAGGTAACAGAGTACCCCTGCTTCTTAAAGTCAGGTAGTAGGCATCATCTTAGGAACCTGACACGTTTGTAACATCCTTTCACATTCACTACTGAATTCAAATCACTTGACAGTAAACAAGACGACAACATACGTCATAGAGAAGGTGTCATGTAATTTAACTTGGACTCTTCAGGCACATAGAAATCTCCACCACATAATACTCTCGCACCCTATCAAAAAAAGGATAAAATAACGCATATTTTGTAAAGCACATTGCAAGCTATTTTCATTGGTCCGAAGCTTTCTTCAACTTCAAGATAAGCTATAACAGTTTTAATAGGAAGCCTTATCATCTCCTTAATCAGCATACATCGAATACATTATGGAGAAAGGATACAACCCTGATGAACATCTTTCTAGATAAACGATCTAGATCGTTCACGTCATGTCCCCTTGCTATTTGGACAGCTCTTTGCTCTACATATAGGCTTCACATGAGCACAATTAAGTGCTCTAGGATTCCTGTTCTTCTCAATGTTAGTCCTGATTTGTTATGCTCCAAACAGTCCTGATTTGTTATGCTCCAAACTCTATTCAGTCTGTAGGCTGAGCAAGTAGTTTTGGAAGCTGGGATTTATGAAGAAAAATGAGGACTGGAGGAACTCATCAACAGCCTGCAATATGCCAATGACACAGTCTTGCTGGCTCAAAGTGAAAAGGCCTTGAAACACGGCAGAAGATCTAAGACTACAGCCTTCAATATGGATTACAAGAAGAAAACAAATCCTCACCACTGGGTCAACAGTCCTTGGAAAAAGACATCCTTGGAAAGCAGATGGTCAGCAAAGTAGGAAGTGTACTGCCAGGACTGTAGTGATGGGCTTGAGCAAGGCAGAGGTCGAGACAGTTCACAAGGTCACTACAAGTTGTGGTCGACTGGACAGCACTAACAACATATGTCCATGTTCCCTCCCAAGTCCTTTCCAAATTCATCACCTCACTGCTGGAAATAGGGTCTGTGGAGCTTTTTTATCCTTCAGGAAAACAAGTAAAAAAGGTGTATTAAGGCAATAAAAGAGCAAGGTGGTGGTGACAGGCCCTGCAAAAGAGGTCAAGTGAAAAAGGGAAAAGACAGTTTGAAGCCAAATCTAACGGCGTACTGTCCACAGAAAATGAGCGGTTCTGTGTCTTTGTGTGAAGTGTGATGCCCTTGCTGAGGAGTCTCATAGGTTCTTGCTCTTTAGCAGTACCCTTGCCACCCTGCTGGCATGTTTACCCCTCACCAGGTGTGCAGGCTGCCGGGGAGGGTCTGCCCTGCGCCAGAGGACGAGGCTAATGGGTCCCTTTCTGGTTCAAGGCTGTGGGTCTGGCCCAGGGCAGGCACAACCACACATCTGCCTTTAGGGGAGCAACTGGGGCTGCAGGCACCTGTCTTCCACCTTAGAAGACCGACAGCAACAGAACAAGGGGTGTGGAAAGAACACTCTTTCTTCTTTAAAAGGGACATGAGATGGATAGTACGTGGAGCTGATCTTAAAGTACACCTTACATGTTTATTTTCTCACACATTTGTCTGTTTTATTTGAAAAGCTATTCAATATTCTTTGCTCATGGTCTAAAATAAAAGCTGGCCCCCCTCAGTGTAAGAGTCCAGCTCTGAATGTGGGACACTTAGCAGCTGCAGAAGACAACAGGTGACTGCACACCATGTGACTCAGCATGACTGAGCAGAACCTCAGCTTCAGACCCAGCTGTCAGTGGAGCTCCCTTGATGTCACCCTGCCCAGACTGGTAGCAATGTCCTGGCCCAGGTGCACCAGCAGCCCAAAGTGTAGGGATCCTGTAAGCACCTGCTGCCACTGATGGACTGGAAAGGCCCACAGCTTGCACAAACTCATTAGCATTTCCTCAGTGCCACTGAAAGGTGTCCAGAAAGAATAGTCAAAAGGAAGGAGACCAGACCTTTAATGATACTTTCCATAAAACAAGCCGGTGAAGCATAAAAGGGATGTGATTACAACTTAACGCAAAATCGGTCACTTGCACAATTAAACAATCCTGTCGGCATCATACAAACTAGGTTTTAATGGCAGATGATTACATTACAGCACATCCAGCGCGCTGGAGAGTGGTCTGGACTGCATCACGCTCGACCTGAGGGGAGGGCATACACCCGGTGATGAGACGCAAAGGTGGGCCACTCCTTCTGGGCTGCAACCCTTCTGTGGCTGCACCCCGGTCACCAGAGCCCCTGAGCAAAGTTCTAGGGCCACTTAGGAACAGAGGACACATGAGAGAACACGGGGCAGGGTGGATGCGGAGGGGAAAGTATATCTAAATAGACTATGTACACTAAACCAATGAAGGAGAGGTTTGGCTTTAGAAATAAATATGCCCCCAACCCTAGAAACCAAGCTGCTGAATAGTTTCCACGGTGAGGCGCACATTTAACACTTAACCAGGGCCAGCACGCTTTACTGGTTTAATTCTATTACATTTATCATCACTATACACTGAGTAGAATACAGTGGATAAGCAAAGGTTTCTCCACCATGGAGAGAGATTTGTGTTACCACAAATTTGTTTCTATCACCCACCTGCGTGGGAGGAATTGTAAGAAAGTTTTCTTGTTCCAAGGAGCCACGTGACTTGGCATAAGGCCCTGCCTCAGCATGAGCTCTCTGAGCGAGAAGCCACGTACGTGCTGGTGACAACATGGCACGAGGGAGAATCCCTGAAGAGCACAGATGGGCTGTTTGAGGAGGTGTGGTAAGGCGACAGTTAGTGCGAGAACACAAACAGGCACATTGACATCACTATGTTCAGGTGCACAATCCAGATGAATCCTATCAGTTTGTCCATTCCCAAGAGCCTTGGTGATACTCAAGCGTCTCTGCTTATGTCAAGAAATACAAGGACTACACAACATCAGAGAGAAAATCGAGTTCGATGTGTCAGATGGCCGCATCCCTGACAAGTCGCCCTGTGTGCTGCTAAGTTCCACTTGGTATAAACAGCCTTTTTCTTCACCAACATGAATGCTGCCCAGGTCTTTACTATTTAAGTCACAGCAGCTGCCCATTCAGGGAGATTTGTGTAAAAGCTACAGCTGTCCACCTCCTAAGCAGAAGAGCCTAGAATCAGACATTTAGCAAGATGAAAGGAAACTCAGAACACGATCATTTATGTAATGTATTGGTATTAATGTAATGGTATCTTAGATGAAATAATATCAAGTTGGGATATAATCAGTAATTATTTTAAATATTTCTCGTATCAACCTAATTCAGTAACTACTTTAAAAGTTTCTCTTGTATCTCCTAAGACTCTTCATTTCTACTTTGAAGACCTGAACTTTAGTGACAGTTTAGGTGGCACTGCCCAGCCGCACATGTGCTGCTGGACAGCGGCCATGGGGCTAACGGAACTGAGTCTTTAAATCACCACGTGGCAGCTGCGTGGACAATGCAGTCTTAGTGACACCTGTCACTTACTTGCTGTCATTCAAAGGTATTTCTTTAGCAGGAGTGTTCTGCTCTGAGAAGGTAGATCAGTCCAGCCAACACTAATATGGGATGGATCACCCTCTGCAGCTCCAGGCGGTGACCGGGTGACTGCCATCAGTGGCACCAACTTTTTACATTTATACACAAAGTCCTCACCATTTCTTCCCCTTTAATAGAAAACGAGATTACCAGCAAGTCCTACTGGTTATCCTAACATAAATTACATTCTGTCCTTGAAGAGAAATGTAGGAAGAGGGAAATAATGATTGGAAGAGACAGACATGAAAATGCTAAGTGGGTCAAGGCCTGTGCTGCTGTGCTACCAAACCTAATCCAGTTGAGGCCATTGTGACCCCTGGTGACCCCAAAAGGGGACAGCAGAAATGTTCCATAGAGGTGCCATAGAGGTCCCCAGGTTGAATTCTCCAAAGCAGCACAATGCTCTGTCTTTATCTCATGGAAGAGCTGATGGGGTAGAACCAGCAACTTTTCACACAGCTGAGCAGTTAACCACTGCCCCACCAGGGCTCTGACATAATACAACTACCCCAAAACCAATAGAATGACTGAGAATACTTACAAGTCCTTTAAGTGGATTCTTGCTCCCTATTTCAACTTGAGTGAAAACAGAGTTTGTACCTACTGTTCTTGAAAGCACATTTTAAAACAAAGATTGAGAAATTAAAGGATAGAGACTATTTGAAGTGAGACTGTTTTTATCTTGCTGTTTTCAACTGGCCAATAAGGGTTAAAGCCCAGAGCAGTAAAGACTTTCTTTCCATCAAAGTTGCCCTCACAGGGACCACCACAGCGCGTGTGCAGGTCAGCACGTCAGCCTCGAGCGGCTGAGCATGCAGACAGACCTGCGTGGATGTGCAGCTAGACAGACCCAACACTACAACCAAACAGAGGAATTGGGTGTGCTTCAAAAAGGTCAAGTTACCATACTATTTACCCTCATTGGGTAACAGTCTGCCATGTAAGCAAGTGTCACAGAATTTTTTAAACACTAATTGAATTTGACCTGTAAACTTTCCTGTACTCCTATCTTTACCAGAGGAAAACAAAAGACTACCCCAAACCAAAGACTCCAACAGATAGAGTAATTCTTGAATGTGCAGCACAGGTATGCAGCTGAACCAAATTCAGTTCATTAGTGCTAAAGGGCAGCCCCTCGGTGATCTGAATGACAGGCCGAACCACCCTCACAGCGGAGTCCCTGTGAAGTGCTGTGCACACGTGATCCTGGGTCCCGCAGCACCTGACCTCCGTCACAGCCGGGGAAGGCAGCAGGCAGTACGTTGCTCCTCACAGTCGGGCACGTCTATTGCTTTCAGTGTGAGGGTAACAAAAGCATTGGTGTAAATGTGCCTCAGAGTGAGAACTGAAAACATTAATATAAAAAGGTCAAATAGAACTAAGTTCTTGAAACTACTTATAAAAACTGAATTATTACAACTAAAAGCAGCAAATCAAAATGTCTGCTGAGGTTTTCTGGTAAAACTAAAAAAAAAAAAAAAAATTAGTTGGTGCCCATGTTCAATAATAAGTCACTATCACTGACAAAATTAAATCCAAAACAGGAAATTGAAAAGTGCATAATGAAATTAAATCTTGGATCAAGTATTTATGGAAAACTGGAAATGTTTGTCCGGTATAGTTGATGAGTAATGACTTAGAAGAGGTATTAAAGTTTCTCGGGTGCAGCCTTGGCCTGGCGTTCCACATAGAACAGGATGTAGGCCTTTGCCTTCCCCACGGTCTCCTCCTCAGTCAGGGTTACAGTACTGTCATTGAAATGGAACCAGCGACCTTCGTGGGTGGCAAACGCTGTATAATGCCCAGAGCCGACTCTGTAAAGCAAAGGCAGAGATTCAAACAAAAGATGTCAGAAGTCCTTACAGGATTGTGCAGCCTTATAACATTCCAGCTACGTAGTAAAATTTAGTAAGCAGTCAATAATAAATCCTATAGATTCTGGAGATTTTCTGGAAATCCAGACATTCTGGAGTCATGGAGCCTAAATGAACCCCTAAAACTACTTTCCTGAGTATCTTAATAAACCATAAATTAAAAAATACCCATTGAAATCTTAAAGCTGAACAGTATAGCTTAACTGGTAAGGAGTGTGTTTCCTGGTCATTGTGCTCTTTTAAGATCTGTCTATGGGATCAAAGTGGCAACAGCAACTGGAAAGACTAGAAAGAAAATGAAGGGTACAGAAGTTTGCAGAAATACAGGAGAAACAACAAAGAAAATGTGAGGATGATGAACATGGTTGCCTTTTACCTTGGTTTTTGGGGAAAACTGAGAGTTGGGGGTTTTTTAATTCTCTTAATCCTGAAGGGAAGGGAGCTGTGGTGGCTTAGTGCTAACGCAACAGGTTTGAATCCACCAGCTGCTCCACAGGAGAAGGATGGGCATTCTCCTCCCATGTGATTTACTGCCTCAGAAAACCCAGTGGAGGGTCAGCTATGGGTCCGTTCCAACTTGATCGACAAAACAACAACAAATCCTGAAGGGGGTTTTCTAACCTACTAGAAAGTTCATTTCTTTTGTCCAGGTCAATTGGTAATTCCTGAGTAAGCTGTAAACTACTTGTTCGGTACTTTTTGTCTGTCCCTGGACTGCAGTCTGATGAAAAGGAATGTACTATATGTACTGTACAAGTACCCATCAGCTGTTAAGTACTGCTGAGTTGAAACTGAGTTATAACTCACCCTTCAGCAAGTTTTCCGAGTCTGTAAATGGCACAGGAGTAGCCCATCTTTCTCCTACAGAGGAGCTACTGGATTTGAACTGCATGCCGTTGGGCTGGCAGTGAACCTTCCCATCCACTAGACCACCAGAGTTCCCTATTTGTTTTGTGCCATCAAGTCAGAACCGATCCACAGCTAACTCTCTAGCCAGTTTTCAGAGGCAGCAAATCACATAGAAGGAGGTTGCTCTTCCTTTGTCCACGGAGCAACTGATGGATTTGAACCACGTGCCTTTGTGATTGCAACACAGCTTCTTACCATTAGACCACCAGAGCTCCCTTGTGTGTGTGTGTGTGTGTGTGTGTGTGTGTGTGTGTGTGTGTATGTGTGTATATAGTTACATATTTTTTAAAAAATTACTATCTCCCACAAAGAAAAAAAGACTGCTGTTGGGCCAATTCTTACTTGCAGAGATCCTACAGGATGGGGTAGAAATATCCTAAGGGTTTCTATTATAAGACTGTAAATAAATCTTCACAGATATAGACTGCCACATTTTTCTCCCATGAGCTATCTGGTGGATTTGAATGACTGACCTTTTGGTTAACCAATAATGCTCCGTAAGTGACTATGAAAATAAGTGCTTACTGAAGGAGCTCTGGGGTACAGTCAGCTGGGAATTGTGTTGTTATAACCCAAAGGTTTATAACTCTTTGTGGTGATTCAAATCCACCAGCGGCTCCTTGAAGAAAAACAGGCCACCTTCTCCCATGCGATTTATAGCCCCTGAAAACCCCCTGGGAAGTTCAGCATTAAGTTGGTTCCTTCTCAACAGCAATGAGTTGAAAGCCTACCAAGGCCTCAATTGACGGCTCTGGTGGAAAGGTCATGCATTGAAATAGACATGGAATTACAGATAAACACAGCTAGTAATCCCAAATTGAAACAGGAAGAAGCAGAAAGGAGGAGAGGAAACAGAGAGAAATGGAGCAGGGAACCTTGTAAAAGAGCTGTAACACAGGTCAAGACCTGTAACACAGGTCAAGACCTGTAACACTGAAAAACAGCAAGTCCAGAAGGGTCTATGGAAGAGGCAGAGTTGGGCTTTACAAAAGGGAGAGCCAAGAGGACCTTGTCCTGGGGAAGCTGAGAAGTGGCATGCAAGGCAAGAGAAGGTGAGAGAGAGGCCCTGCCTTGCCCAGTTGCAGCTTGTTCTATCCTTACCAAACCACTGAACTGTGGGTATGAGTTATGAGTTCTGTGTGATCACTGCATGGTTGATCAAATCCAGAAGAGAAATAGATAGTACCATGAGAGAAGCAGCTGGTGTCAGAACAGATTAAAAAGTCTGGATGGAGAAAAGCTGTCTAGTTGTTAAGCTGATCCTGGTCATTATCCCTCTGAAGTCAGAGAATCCGTTCTCATACTGTTTTTTCCACCCTTTTACACAGGGTGAGAATGGTTGCATGATGCACTATAATCACTGTCACAGAATTACAATCTGTTGAAATATGTCCTGCTGTGTAAATTTTAAAAATCTAAAGTGTATGTCTAAAAAACGGCACAGCCCTGCTGCCCTGCACTGTGCTGCCAACCAGGGACTCCCCCATAAGCAGCCCACGGGCATGCTCACCCAGAACCATGGTGTACCACCACGGCGGCCAGGTCATAGAGGCAGCTCTCAGGGCCGCTGTTCTCGGGCTGCAGAGAGAAAGAGGAGAACAGAGTGAGGAGCAGTGGTCAGTGAAATCACTGTCCCTACCTCAGGGACCTCTGTGTGAAAGCGTAATTTTATAAACTAATTCTATTTTCACTATGCTAACAAAGCTAATCCTCTTACCTCTAACAAGTAGCATTTCATGTCTAGACCTCTCAGGGGAAATTCTACATATGTGTCAACTTTGTTTCTTAAGTATGCTGTCCAGTGAAACCTTTTCAAATGTAAGCATAGCACCTGAATGACAGAGAAAAAAACAAGGATTATAAACAAACATCAAATGTAACTTTCAATCAAAAACAACTACTCAATAACGCCTCTCAAAAAATATTTTACGTTATTAGTTTCTTCATCTTTGACATTGCTTCTTTCCATGCATATCTTAAATATTCTCAAAACTGCAAAATCTAGAGGCCAGTATAGAACACTTCATATAAGCTATAAAAAGCATTTGTGACATTTCTCACTTACCTTGGGTAACTTTTGAATCCAAAACTTTTTTGTGGATTTTTGCTTCTTTTTGCATTTGTGGCACATATATAACTCTGTTTCATCAAGTTCTTCTAAGTCAGTAAAACTGCGGAGACAATCTAAAATAAAATTGATAGTATCTGGATTAAATTAGAGGCACCGGACAGCAGAGATCCAACCTATGGAGCTGAAAGAGTGAGAACAGTATTTGCTGGATGTTCTCAGGAAAGTCAACCTTTCTCAGTTTCAAAGTGAAGACAACAAATAGCACCTCCGGTGAAGAACCATGAGGACAAGAGATGTGTGTGAGACCCCTGGTGCAGTGATGGTAAAGTCATGACAGATGGTATTACTGTTACTTTTGCTATGATTAATTAGAAAGAATTATAATTCTATAATTACTATATTACATAATTATATTATAAAGAATTAGACTGAATGGTTCCTAAGAAAGAGTTTCCTGAAGAAATAAAAGTCCAAAGAACCATTTTATCTCAGTATCTTGGAGCATAGAGGGCAAAGCCTTAGTTACTAAAAAATGTCAAATTTAGACCAAATCTTTTCATAGGTATAAATTAAAGGCTACCATGTAAACCACATCATCTCCTAAAGTGCTAGCGAATCTTGTCCCAGACTTTCCACTCTGACCTGAAAAATCCACATAGTTTTCTTTTAAAGATTTAACTGTGCATTCCCAAGCCAAGCCAGCAGTCTAGGTTTGTAAATAAAGTTTTGTTGGAACAATAACGTTGGCTGTTTTCACATATCGGGAGGTGAGTAGTTGCAATAAAGACCTTATGTGCCACAAAGCCTAGAATATGTAACAGAGAAAAGTTGCTAGCTCCTGGGATAATCAATCATGTGTTTATGTCTAAATAAAATATATTCTTTTGTAGGAAATAATATATATTATGATAATAATGTGATTCTACTGAGAGAAAAGGGTGAGTTACTCACATACCCATTTACCTAGGTTGAGGATGAGACTCCAGCACCTGAAGGGCCTGGGCCTCAGCCCCCATCGAGCTGCGCTGTGGACAGCTGAGTGCTGTGAGCAGTTCCCTGTCACAACCTGCAGAAGTAACCATTATTCTGACTTGTGTTAATTATTCCTTTGCTGTTCTTTAGTGCGAAAAACTGCAGCACATACCCCGCTGTCTAAGGAAAGGCACACTCAGGTCTGATGCCACATGGACTTTTGCTCACTGATCCTAGTACCTGGAACATGCTTTACCCTAGATCCACTCAAGTGTCACTTCTTTGTTTTAGCCTTTTCCAAACATTAGTTGATAGTGACACACCTCCCTCCCCCCACCTTCCAGGGCCTTTTGTTTTGCATTGTATTTCCTAAAGCAAGTAACAGACACTAAAACCAAATTTGGAAGGGAAAAAAAAAGTGTGGCTGTCCTCAGTGGCCTCCTAAATTCCCCTATCTCTGAGAGCTCCAATTACATCCCAGGCTGGTCGGAGGATCTTTTCAGATGATCTCTATGGCACTGAGATGCTCTGAAGCTGAGCTCGGGACTCTGTCTGCCATGCCTTGTTGGATCATGCCAAAAAGCTGTGGCCTTCAGTGGTGGTGGGGATTAGATCAGGGGAAGGAAAAAGATCCTCTTCCACACTGAAAATCAGTATCTGAAATTTTCCCAAGTAAAAGAGCAGCGTGAATGCTGATACTAAGAAGCTCTGCACACAGCCTCCCTGCCCGCTGCCCAGGTAGGGGGAGACCCCCACTCACAACCCTGAAGGCAGCAACCTCTGCCCAGTGAGGGGGCACTCCTGCTCCACCCTGTGGGGCCTCCCTTCCTGAGGGCCTCTCCCAGGCCTGTGCATGCAGGTGCCATCAAGAGGGTCACTAATAAGTTAGTGTGTAAAACTGTCATTCTTCTCCAGTACTTACATGTTGTTGTTATGTGCCGTCGAGTCACTTGCAACTCGTAGCGACCTTATGTACAAGAGCCCTAAACCCTGTTCTATCCCATACCAACCTGACACACCTACGCCCATTACTCCAATCACTGAATCGATCTATCTCATCGAGGGTCTTTCTCTCCTGTGCTGTCCCTCCACTCTCCCAAACATGATGTCCCTCTCCAAGGACTAGTCCCTCCTTACAACATGTCCAAAATATGTCAGACAAAGCTTCAGAATCCTTGCTTCCAAGGAGCAGCCCAGTTTCACCCTCTCCAGGACAAACCTGTTTGTTCCCCTAGCAGTCCATAGTATATTCAACACTCTTCTCCAGTACCACAGCTTGAAGACATCAATTCTATTACCTCTAGTCACTGTCCAGCTCTCTGAAGCATAGCACGCAAGTGCAAAGACTAGAGCTCCTAATTTTCTGCAATATGATATCCTCAGAAGCACTGAAATTACTGAAACAATCAACAGATCAATACCTCAAAGCAACTCCACAAGTCCCAATGGGAACCCACAGCTTAGTAACTGCCTGACCATCACTCTGGTCCTTTTCTGGAAACACAGGTGCCCTCTGGGGCCTCTTTCCTGCATGCACTCCCTCTCCAACACAAAGATCACTTACACCTTCTCCCAGTCTCGGTTTCTTCCCCACTGTCCTCCCTGGCCACTTTCTTCTCGCCTCCCTGGCTTAAACTTCCAGGGTGGGTGTACTGGGTGCATGCATGCGCAGAAGGTATAAGATAAACCAACGTGAGGTGACCAGATCAGCCAGACGGCCATGAGTGAGCTACACCAGAGGCACCTGGATCAGCACACACACAGTTTGAGCAATGGCAGCCCATGTGAGAAACACTCTCTCTGTTCTTGCTCTTCACAGACTTGGGAGCCCTACACTGCCACTGCACCCCAGCCACATCTGTGGCAGAAAAGTGTGCCCACGACAGCTCTCCTGAAAGCCTGCTGCCCAGTTAGCAGTGACTGTGGGTTTAAAAGCAACATCATCCACAAAAAAAAAAAAAAAAGTGGACGAAACAGTAAATTCTCAAGTCCCAACTGCTGAGTTATGAAACAACTACTAAAATGTTTTTAAGCATAAAAATCCTTAACCAGAGTTAGTGCCACAAGGTGGGCTAATCACCCACACCATAATTCCAACTGACTGAGACCAACCAGCTGACAGCTGACCCTCCTCTGTCTTCTGGGGCCATCAGACACCGACAGGAGACTGCCCACCCTTCACCCAAGGAGGAGGAGGAGTTTCTGGGGAGTTCAAACCACTGGAGATAGAGCTTAGAGGGATAGCAGAGGATGTTTACTCTCTTTGTAGGATTCCCCCTAAATTTTAGAATGAGTATATATTTCTTTATAATAAGGAAACCCAGAATGAAGCATGTATACATTCAAACAAACTTAGAGAAATGCACCCAGCATATCCTTGATATTTAAGGATTTAACACTGGCCTATTTTAAATATTTGGAAAGCTCAAATGACTCTAAAATGTACTACAGTTTAACAGGTAACCACAGCATAAAGATGAAATTTCACCTCAAAGCTCACACAGCCTTTGAAAATCTGCTAAAGGGTCAGCTATAAGCTGTTTTCCAATTCAATAGCAATGAATAGCAGTTGTTGTTGTTGTTGGTAGATGCCATCAAGTCAAGTACAACTCACAGTGACCCTATGAAGGGCCAACTTGAACCCTGCCCTATCCTGTGCCATCCTCATCATCTGAGACACTAGAACCCACTGCTAAAGTAACAGTGTCAATCCATCATGCTGGGAGTCTTCCACTCCTTCACTGACCTTCCATCTTTCCAAGCATGTTGTCCCTTCCAAGGAAGAGCCTTGCTTAGCAACATGTCCAAAGTATAAAAGCAAAGCTTCACCATCCTTGCCTCAAAGGAACATTCTGGCCACACTCTTTCCAGGACAAATCTGTTTATCTGTTCGTTCTTTCAGAAGTCCATGGGATTTTCAGTACTCTTCTCCAGGGCCACAACTCAAAGGCATCCTTCTGTCATGGATAGCGTGGACCAGGTCCTACTTAACTTGATGGCACCTAACACCAACTACCCCACCTCCACCCCCCATCTCCCACCTAAAACAAAACCAAAAACCCTACCATTTTCTCCTCCTAATGCCAACTGTCAATCCACTTTGTTGAAGGTCTTCCTCTCACCCTTCACTTTCCCCAGCATGATGTCTTCCTCCAAGGACTGGTCCCTCCCGATAACATGCTCAAAGCATGTGACACAAAGTTTCACCATCCTTGCCAACACAGAGATGCTAACACTGGGCTGGAGCACATCGATCATCATGATATGGGGCAGGATCTAGGGCAAGGTTCAGATCTGTTGTTTACAGGGTCACTATGAGTCACAGAGTGCCAAGAGAGTACCCAATTTCAAAACCTTCACAAAGGGTATTATGTATCTTTATTATTTTGCCAATCTAGGTTTACATGTATTTTCTAGACTAGAAGTGTGTCATTTCTTTTTTTCAGGTGGTAAACTGACCATTTTACCTTTTTTTCCCCTTACTCTCACACTTTTCCCAAGACCTATTTTAAATCTCCTTGGTGGTTCAAATCCCTAGGAAAAGTATATATACAATCTCTCCTTACTCAGTTCACAGCTTTAGAAACCCAATGGCAGTGGCTATGAGTTGGTTCTGATGGTGATGCATTAGAAGTTCCTAGTTTATGGCGATTTAGCATTGTATGGTAAACCAATGATTTCAGCAAAGCGGGGAGAGCTGAAACCTGGATAGGGAAGCCTTGTCTTTCTTCTCATGCATCTCCTGACTGACAGACTTTTCTGGGATTCATCTCAGTGAAAATTCCTTCTGTCAGGTTCTTGTCTTATACAAGTACTGGCTTTTGAGATTTCAGAACGATTTTCCTTACATCAAAATGAAATTTTAAGAAGTTTCCCTATCATATCCTCATAGTTTTATTTTTCATAAAATCTGGAAAATGATATGCTGTAGCAATTACCTTAATGTTTTCCCAAATTAAGAATCACTTACATGGATGCCTAATACAGCTCATTTCGAACTTTATCTTGCCATATACTAAGTTCTCAGGAACACATATTTATACCAGTTCATGCCACTTTAGCACTTCTAAGTCATTTTCTACCTTACCTATCTTTACCTTGGCCCTTAATCTTCATTTTAAAACTCTTTTTATCCCTCTGT